GCTCAGAGCATGTGAAGTGTGTATGTAGGAGATCAATTTTGTGTGAACCTGAGTGTTAGCATTTTATTTTATTAAAAATAAAGACATGTACTGACGTGCTTTTTGTATCATACTCTCGTGATGAGAGCATTTCTCTTAGGTTCAGTTGACTTCTCAGGCTGAGAGAAAAAGCAAGGTCAAATAAACCACTCTCAACAACTTCACTGTTTGGCTGAAGTCTCTTCTTGGGATACATTCTTCATTAGTTGTTGGAACTGTTAAATAGCAGGCCTAGAATTTGCCCTGTCTTACGAGCACTCGAGGCAACAGATTTTATGATCACACTCACAGTTCTCCCATTTTCCTTTTTCTCTAAAAAATGATTCTACAATTAATGCCAGGAAAGGATGCAGAGTTCTTCAGCCCACATGAAGGGAAGTTTGTAAAGGGTTATTTATACAGCTGGAATTGTAAGAATCTGGAAATCAGTCTTTGCTTTGTGTTAGCTTAGGCAGCTTCATGCTCACCTGCTGCAAACATTATTCTGAGTTAATGAACTCCTCCCATGTCTCGATCGTGGTAGTTAAAAACTTGTAATATTCAGTATTATGGTATCCAAGATTCTTTATGCATTTAACTACTAGAACAAACGTTTCCATTCTGAATATGCAAATGCCTTCAGTGCCTCTGAAAATTAGACCATGCCTCTATCTAGTCAGTGCCTAATTTTACAGTTGATGTTCAGAAATGTTTGCCCAACCTCTGTATTTTCTGGTTTTTGTTTGTAAAAATGGAACATTAATACTTAATTGCTTCTCAAAACTTTGTGGGAATTAATGCTTCTAAAGCATTTCAAGAATGAAAAGGACCACATAAACTGAAAACTACTGTAATTAAGTATGAATTATTTAAAATGAAAAATTTGTATTGCAAATGAAGTGCTGGAGCAATATATTGAACAAACCACCAAAAACCTCACAAAAATCTCTAACCAAAACACAAGGTTTAGACATCTTGCAGTACCAACTCTTAGAAAACTGCTGAGTATCAACTGAGCTGTAGTAATGACTATATGTGCACATAGCCATAGTTTTATGGAAAGCAGTTTTACATAACATATTTTACCTTGCATTTGGTGCAGACAGGAGTATGCATATGGTCAGTCAGTTAACACTGACTTAATGAGGAACCCTCAACAGCAGTTTCATAGTGATTGCTAGTGACTGACATCTAACTATTAAACTGTGTCCTCTTTTTTGCAGTATCCAGATTGTTTTTCTCCTCCAATATTTCACATGTAGGTTTTGTGGGGCAGTAACCACCCTTTTATTATAAGGACACAGAACAGTTAGCCTTAAAACTCCTGTACTGGCATATGATCCAATGCAGATAAACGTCAGTGATACTGTACTACTGCTACTACTAAACGTAACATATTTCAAGAGGAGTATGACACTTGAGAATCTGTGTTAGTAAGCTATGGCTTTTGCCATAAGTAGATAGACCATGCAGGCCTTGACACCTACAAGTGCACTAGAAGTTTTTCTCATACCCATCTTTTTATGCCTATTGTTGTACGTGTCCTGTATCTAATTTTTTGTTAGTTTTAATCTTAGTCTTGAAGCACTTTAAATGAAATTAATTACATATTAAATACCAAGACTATCTCTTTAACTTTCTGCTACTTTTAAAATCTGCCCCATGAACATTGCCTTTCAGTTTAAAGACAATGTATTAAACAAAGTGATTTAGCTTGTTTCCTATTTGTAAAACAATGTCTTATTTTAAGGATGTTTACTACAAGCAACCAGCAACAGAATGCAAATACGATTTATAGTAAATACCTTGAGTATTTTGTAGATGAGTCACAGACAGTGGATTTGGTTTTGGGAAAGGGAAACTAATAACTAACCTATCCAATGGTATAATAATATAATGGCATTTAATAACAACATCCCACTAGTAAATAGTTACCAATATTCGATATTTCTCTAAAAAAGTAGGGATGTTGTTACCGCAAGTTATGCAAACATTTTACAAAGTCATTCTATTCAAAAAAAGACCCAATGGTTAGAAAATGGCCAACATAATGCCATTATTGAAGACGGACACTGCAAACACTTCAGGAAATTGTAGACCATTTAGTCTGGGTGCCTTTGGGGAGGAGAGAATCTTAAAAATTGGTTTTGGACATTAAATGGGGTACTATTGAGGAAAGCACAGCTTGATGAAGGATAGCCAATATTGCCTCAGGAATGAATGATCATGCTTCACTACCTTCTGAATTTCAGTCAGGCTATATGTAATTAGAAGAACAAGTAGATAGCATGCATTTGGTTTTCATTTCTAGAGAGTATTCAGGAAAATTTTAAATCAAGGACTAATATAGTGTACTGTGATATTGGTAAGGGAATAAAGTAAATAATTTCTCTTAGAGGAAAACTATTATTCTGAAACAAATAGGAGCACAGCAACACGGGTATTAATGATAGGGCTTTTACTTAATTTTATATATATTTAGTGACAATAGTAATAACAAGATCAGGCTATCCAAAACCATATCATTTAAGTTGCAGTAGAGTACTTAAGAATGTACTCTAAGCAGATGCTGAAACGTTATTGTTAATGTAAGTGGTATTGCTCAGCTGCCTAAATGATTTACAGCGAATGCCATATTCAGCCCCTTCTAATATAAGATCAGTTAATCCTGATTAAAGAAAATATAAAAATCATTTATATGAAAAAAGGAAGCAATTTCTGCAACATATTCACCAGGAAGCTAATCTGATAATTAAAGGACACAGTTTTTTAACCTCTCTCAACACTTCCAAAATACTGAAATTTCACTTATGAGTTTCTGGCCTACCTAATTTCATTATCACACCCTCTATAGCTCAGAAAATTTAGTGTGCTTTAAAAAATATGAAAATGTTATACCATCAATATTTTCCAAAAACTCCTGAAAATTTTGTGTGTCTCTATGCTTGGACACCAGAGCAAGAAACCTTTGAAATACATTCCTTACAGAAAACAGGTGAGAACACCCATGTCTGAAAATCAATACCATTTTACAGAAGTCTCAAATTTAATATGAAAGAAGGAGACATCCCTTCTTGAAATTCTTAACTAAGATAAACTCTAATTAAAGAATCTAACAGTAATTGTGCAGCACATTCAATAGGAACATATTTTTATTATGTGGAATTATCAATTTTAGATAGAGACATATAGATATCAAGCAAATTTAGAGTACTATAAAATCACTTCAGTAAAGTTCATTATTGCATCAATTTACATACAAAATAACATATCATTACCACAAGACCCAAATACATAATTACATAATACATCATATAAACCAGACCAGATTTAGCTAAAAAAATTCTCTGCTATTTCTTCCTCCAATCGTTTTCTGTTTCTTCTCCGATATCAGTAGCATTTTGAGATTTCAACTTGAACATCAAGCTTCATGCTGAAAATTGTTATTACAGAAAAAATCCTTCAAACTAATTTATAGCTGACTGCAATTCTGGAAATATTATGACAAAACAGTGGATTAGTTCACACAGCAGCATTTTGCTTTTCATTTCTTCCAAGACCTATGCAGACATCTGTTTGAGACACAAATGCTATAGTTAATCTATCATAAATGTGATAACATCATATTACCCTTCAATCTCTTACTTTTTTTGAGTGTCTGATAAGAGAAATCCTAACCAGGATAAACATGGGGGAAACTAACAGGATTAAAAGAATGACAATATGTAGGAAGATTTTTAACAGTTACTTTTGATGGAGCGCTAATTCAAACATTCCCCAGATTATTCACTAAATCACAAGAAGAATAGAAAGTTGACCTCTCGTCTTGAAGAAGACAATTTGTACACCCAAAATTGCTCACTCAAGGTTCTGAATAAAGACATCAAGACAAAACTTGTAAATTAATTAAAATAAAAAACATAATCTCTTTATGACTTAGGATACACACAGTTTGTACAGAGAGAGAATATCTTCTATAAGACAAGTTAGTGAAGGTGGGAAAGGGGGACAAGCTTTCTGGCAGTCCCTGATCCCAGCTCTGCAGTAACAGTTTGGTGAGGAGGCTGCTCCTTAAATCTTGCCTCTCTTTTGCAACCACACCAGCTGATCTGATGTACCTCTTTCTCCATGCCCTGTGTCTCTGCCTATTCTTAGACCACCACTGCTACAGCAGCATTACTATTTCCAGCTGTAGGCAGGGAAGACTGTCAGAGGATGCTTAAATAGAGAAAAGTGAAGCTAAAAGCGATGTGCAGGATAAATCACTTTTCTAAGCCCTGCTTATTTATATCCACATTTTAAATATATCCCAAGATGATGATGTTAATGGATATGTATTCTGTGGCTACCAGTACAACACGGTGCTCACAAGATGGTAATCAGCTTGATGCATTATTATGCTTTATCACAGAATACTGCAAGCCTACTCTAAGACAATACGAAATAGAGAACAAAAAGTGATTTATTACCTAAATGATGCAATATTACATAAATGATGCAAGGTTGATGGAGTACCAGTTTATCTCAGCAGTGAATGGAGGCTACACAGTTTGTGCGGCTTCTGGGTGGAGGAGGAAGCAGGCTTGTAACAGAAGGATCAACAGGAGTCAGAGGAGGTGTTGCACTTATAGGACAGAGTGAAAGAGGAAACAAATGAGCGCTTACATAGTACAAAAAATAGAGATGTTGAGAACAGACATCAAAGAGCACAAAGAGAAGGAATTATGAAAATGCCAAGGCACCACTGCTAGAAGCCCAGTTGAAAAAAATAAGGGCTCTATTATGAGTCTAAAATCAATCTCATTGGCATTTCTGAGACCTGAGAGGAAACTCACATGACTGGGATGTTAAAACCAACAGTTATTACCTATTTAAAGACTGAAGGAGGAGAAGTGATAGCCTGGCATAGAGCTGGAACTGGCCAACCTCTGCTTTCCCTCAAAGGAGTCACGTACAAGAGCTCTGGTGCTTCTCAAGTTTCTCATGTTTCTAATGTCAAAACATTAGTGAATTGCCGAGAAATCCTAGGTGATATCTTTATTCAGATTGTTGCTTCTGCCATGTAGGCTTCCATCTTGGACCTTACGGTGAGGAGGTAAAGGGGAATTACTTGAAGAACTAAGCATTAGTGGTTGCCTGGGAGCAAGGGATGGTAAAGAAATTTGATGGCTGAACAGAATAAAACAAACCAATCAAATGTGGCAACAAATCAATCAAATCAAATCAAATGTGAGAAGAACATGGACAAAAAAATGTGACTAGAAATTGTGAACTGCTTATGACAATTTTAATAGATATCTCCCAAAACAAGGAAAGAAGGGCAGACTAATTATGAAACAAACGTAGCCTACAGCCAAGTAGGAAGAGTAAGATGATATATTCATATTAATATCTGAAGGTGATATTAATTCCAAGAGTAATTACAAAAATTTTGCTTTAGGCCCCCTTACTCAAAGATCCTGACTCCCAAACAAGCAGCATAATTACAAAGGCCCAATACAACCAGATCTCATCACAAGGCTTTGGCTTTTCTGACTGGATCTCTTCCATCTCTTGTTAAAACAGCATGGGATATAAAAGTCACAGGCACAGATATAGACAAAGCACAATCAAGTCAGACTTTGGCTAATGTGATAAGAGGATCCTAATGAGAGCATGGGCTTGGGTTTCTTGATCCTGCTCTGCCATATGTGTATGCACATTTATGTCTCTGACCCCCATTACTTGCACACTGGTATGCACATTGACCCCACTTCTACGGGGGGGGAGGACATTCCTGCCCAGAACTGTCCTACAGTTGTGGGGATACTCCTGCATCTGGGCCATCCTAAAGGTGTCTCAGGCAGAAGTGCCTGAGGAAAAAACATGCTAAATTATGTGCATTGTTTGGTAATGGGATTCAAGCAAACAACACATGGTTTTACATGGCCTGGTTTTGTCATAGGAACAAGGAAGCTGATAGGATTTCTCTCAATGGGAGGCCCTTAATCAGAAACCTCTGATGTTGCTAATATGATGTTAGAGGATGTGGCAGAAATTCAGATGAGATTTCTCCCTGCAACACTGTACTCAATCTCAACCCATAGTGCTAAGAGCTTTTTTGGCTCTCAATTTCAGGCCTTTTCTAAGAAGGATGCCTCGGATTTGGATCAAGCAGTTACATCAAGCTGCTGTCATAATTGATATTTGTAGCTACATGCTTCAAAATCATGGCCATGTATTTTCTACCTGAAGAACTCCTTCCTCAGGAACTGCACATCTATCTCAGTAGGGACTCAATGACACATCACCTACATCTGGTCCATATCAGTGTTGCTTTGGGTAGGTTTCTGGAATACCATGGTAACACCAGCTGTCCAAATCAGTATTTAAAATATTGACTTCTGGATCTTTCCAGAGGTCTACTACTTTGTAGGAGGTCCTTATCATCTCTGTTTGCTCTTTAGCAGCAGAATACTGGGTTTCAGTGTGGGACTATGAGCTGCACTTACCATCTTGCAATTCCATGCAGTCATATGCTGTCAGTGGTTCTACCATCCAAATCCATACCCAGGCTCCTAATACTGTGCAACATACCCCATGAGATAAAATAATAGCAACATCCTTCTGTACCTATATCTCTTTAATCTCTTTACAACCTCTTACCGTGATTTCCATGAAGTTAAGGGTTCCGCTGATGTCTTGCTATTAATAATGATCTTCTTGTTGGAAAAGATTTTGACATTAACTCTTTTCCTTCCCTGACAATTTTTTTATCCATCCCCCCCCCCCCATTAATTTAAAGCCAATACATGATCTTTAAATGAGTTAGATAGCCTAATCTAATCTAACATAATCACAGTTCTAACTTCAGCTATGCCTATGTGCTGTTCAGACCATAACTGAAATGATACAGTTCTACTCCCTGACCAGACCAAATGGAAGTATAAGCATATCAAATACTTTTGAGAATATAAGGTTTAGCCTGGCCCAATGCTTATATGACAATGATAACAGTGCCTCATGTGATCTGCATGCACAAGAGTATTGCCTAAAGGGAGAGAATGTACACCACTTTTTTTCCTTGCTGCTAGTTCATACTTTTTTAGACACAGTTTGTTTCATTTCAAACTGAAATAGAAACAATCTTCTGCAAGTTACATTAAAATTTTCTTTAAGGTAAGGTATTTTGTGTCTTAGCTACTTAGCATTCATCAGATGGGTGTGCCTGGCAAACCAGAGCTGAGTAGCTGAAGCCTTGTGAATTCATATGATTTCTGCATGCTAAGTTCTATCTGTAGAGAAGCCACGATAGAAAATTAAAGAGTAATTTGTCCAAGTTGTATAAGGTTTTTAATAAAGAAACATGAATATTGATCAATGTCTTCAGTTTGGGCAAATCTTTTTATACCTTTGGCAGTGTACAACAAGACTCAGTGGCTGAAATTAAAGGCTGCAGAAATTTAGACTAAAAGTCCCATTTCTTTCATTGTTATGATAATTATTGAAACATCATACTCAGAGTTTTTGTAGATTTTTTGTCTCTGAAAATGTTATAATAAAGAATAGCATGTTTTCTCAAACATGCACTCTAATTCCAGAAGGAATTAATTCCATGAAATTCTTAGATCTATGTTATGTGGGAGGTCCAGCTAGAGAATTGCAATGGTTTCTACTGGCTTTATACTATACAAACAACCTAAGAACCTGCGACTGAATAGTTGTTGCTACACCACTCCTGTTTAGGGAACAAGCATTACGGTCACAATGGTCTTTCAGTGGCAAAGCTCATTTTAACTACAGGCTAAAGCATCAGACCTTAGAAAAAGACTAATTTGGCAGTATTGCCCCTTCTGGCTCTTTGTGTGTCTTTAATAATTTCACATTTCTTTCTAGTCTTACTAAACCACACTTTTATTCACTGTCACTGAGTAAAATCACAAAGAATTATCAATACTTCAATAAATTCATTCATGTGTTTATGCTAGAACATACTTATATGTCACGTTTGATTAATGCATGACTTGTGTATATGTTTGTCCAGGTAATGCAGCTGTAAAATAAGCATTCAGTAATACATCTTCTTGCCCAGTATTACAGTTTTAAAAAATACTGATAGAAGCTCATACATACAAAGAAGATTGGCTATCACTTAAGACACAAATGAGGTGTTTTAGGTATCTTTTGATCATGAAGAGATTAGATTTAAAGCAAAGTTTCAGTAGTTAAAAACTGGACAATAAGGCTATTGCAGCATTTTCTGATTATAGCATAAGAAAGTGTGCTCAAGCACGTCACCATATGCAATTTAAATGCATGGCTCTTTGCACTTCCTATACCAATACTGGTATAATTTCACCTTGGAGACAGCTTTAGGACAGGGTTTATGCATGAAATCAGCTTTTCTACTTTTCAAATGCACAAATGTGTTAGGATATGTCACCCTTTTATTTTTGTGAAGAATGCTAGGCTAAACTGAATCTGATTCTTGGGCAAATGTAAAAACTGATGAGGATGCAACAAATCCCAACCTTTGTAAACACTGGCATAATCTGCAGAGGGACAAAGAATGGGAGAAAGAGAATGTGAGACATTGGTGAAAGAATTCACAGTGCTTAGGAAACCCAATTATGAGCCAAGATCCCATTTGCATTGTTTAATAACAAAAGATGGTTCTTGCCCCAAAGCACTTACAATAAATGTGGATTTGAAATTCATGTTCAAGGAATGCTAGGGTACTTGTGTGTTCACTGTGTTTAATATATAGGCAACACACTTTTGGAAATGGCATGTATTAGTGGAATAAAGCCAGCCTGAGCCTGTGTATTGTTAAACCCTGTTCACAAGATAAAAATTATTGTGCGATATTGGGCAAAGACATAATTTCTTCATTAATGAATTCCAATTTTTAAATGCCTTTCTACATTAGCTGTAGAATTTATGCACCTGACAGTATCTGAATAAGAAAAATAAAAGATTTTGCATTCTGTCACTGAATGACCTTGATAACTATAATAGAAATTAGAAAATATGTTCTATATTTGTTATAGTAAATGTATTCTCCAAAGTATCACAGTAATTATTTTAAAGATTATAGTAATTTAACAGCCCCTCACTTTTTCAAGTACTCTGGCCTTGGCTGATTACTTGAACCTTTACATACGTATTACCTGCAAAATCTTTGTATATGTTTCTAATATCCAAACTCTTTACTTTCCTTGAAATACGCTTAAAGATAGTGTGGCTTAATGAAAGGCCAGAAGAAGATATTTCATGGTCTTTTGTCACACAGCTGAAAAATAAATCTTTGTTCACAGACATATTATCAAGTGTTAACCTTAATTTTTATTAAAATATTTTAACTTTTCCCTTTAATGAAAGAAGTGAGCTCTCAAAGAAGATACATCTTTCACACAGTGCAGCAAGCACCATGTTTTCATTCTCATAGGCTTGGAATGAAATTCTTCACCATTAGACTCCACAGCTCAGTTCTTCACAGTGTTGGTAATAGATAAGGTCATTCTTGTATCTCACTACAAAATCATTACAAATAGTACAGCACTGCTGGCACCCTTGGGACCTCGTCATTCTCTTATGCACAAACCACCTTCCTGACAGCTATGGTGGTCAGTGGGACTCTCTGGGAATTGTCAGTTCTTTCTTCTCATGTGGTTTTTGTTTTCTTTCCACTCCCCAAACCTTTCTGTAATCTGAAGCTACTTAAGGGAACAACATTCCTCCCCCAGTCTCCCCGGTTTGTTTGGATCCACAGCATTGTAATCAGAATAAAGACAATGAAATAAAGTTGCCTATAAAACTGTTGGAGAAGCACAAAGCCTTCTCAGACACAGGACTTTAGCTTATGTCCTTACCTTCTGGTCCCTTAATGTGTCAGTCACAGTAGGCACCATGCCCAGAACTCCCTGTTGCATTTCCTGTCTTCCTTTGTTCCCTAGCTATTTTAAGTCCTTCAACCTATATGGTGAAAATCTCCCCTTTCCCAAACTGCTTCTCATGTAAGGCATCACCTGGTTTCTTTCTTCCTTAGATTTCTACCCCCTCCCCTTCAGTCAAGGTTCCCACTCTCCCACCTGTTGCATCTGTTTACACATGGAGATTGGCAGAATTAGCCTTGAAGAGCTTATCTGCACTGTCTACTGGCATATGACTGCAGTACCTATAGGAAAGGGCATATCACTAAGGTACTGTCACAGGAAGATGCATATGTTGCATCACACGACTTCTCTCCCCATGACACCTATATGTGAACCTGGACTAATCAGAAATGAGCTGTTGGATGCATCTGAGCCCTATCAAGAGGAAGGCAATTCCACATAGCACAGAATATCATCCTGCTCTCCCAGACTACAAGAATCAGTTCTTCTTTCCTAGTTATCATAGGACTACATGACTTCCTTTCTGTCTCTAAAGATTTGTCTTCCTCTCTCTACTGGAGTCTGCCAACAAATTTGAACACATCTCCTGCTAGCTTTTTTCGAGTATAGGTGATAATTTATATACTGTTTGTATTTATAGGTGTTCTACTTATATAGATCCTATACTTTCCCAGTGTTTTACATCATTAAGTCCATCCTTTGCATCCACAGTAATGAATACAGGAATTATTTCTGTCTTATTTTATAATTTATTCACAGCAAGACTTCCTCTGAAATCTGCCTGCCAAAGTACTGGGTAGTTGAGTATAGTCTAAAATTTGCCAGAGGTACTTCATTTGCCATGACACAGAGAAATGGCACTGAGCATCTATGTAAGAAAGTGAGCTGTGCTCAGCTGCATACACTGACTCTGCTGTTATGCAGACACCTGGCAGACATGGACCTTCAGCTGCCATCTGTTCTGCCTGTATTGTGGAACTGCATCCCTGTACTCTTAGAGTAAAAATGGAAGGGAAGAAGTAGCAATAACTGTGGAGAAAGGAGAGTGCAGTAAGTTTCATATAACCGCTAATATCAAGACGTATAGGTCATGGAGTAGTTGATTTTGCTTGCCACCAAAGCAATTTTCACAGCAGGTGATATACAAAATTATCCTAGACTCATTCAGGTTTTTAGAATAATCGAGGGGAATTACACACACATAAAACTCATGTCATATATAGGGCAGTAAGAGTCATTACCATAGGAACTGTATGTCACATGCCTGCTTCCAAAGAATCCTCAGAGACATCACAAGAAGCCATTAGGCTTCTGTAATCTGTGGAGGGTAATAAATTCTGAATGACACTATTGGAAGTTACTTTTCACAACAGCACCTCTACTTGCTGATAACTACCCTTACCTTCCTCTAGGATGTAAAAAAATAGGATGTCTACCAGCAGCAGGGCTTTTAACCCGTATCATGCAGAGGAACACACTGCAACACTAGGCATTTAAGATAGGGGAAAGCAATAGTGCATAAGCAATGTAGTACAGTGGTGGCCCCCTCATTCCTTTTGGGCTAAAAGGGAGACAACCAAAGGACAAGAAGGGTCACAGTTTTGGCAGTTAACTCTACCTCTTGTTTACTTTCCCAGCATTTCACAGAACTCCTCTGAGGTTTCCAAGTTAAGCCAGGCTGCTCTCAATATTAAAAGGTTTCAGAAGGGGGCTATGCAGAATAAATAGGGTAAATTAGTAAATTCACTTGTAACAATGGCAATCATGCCTTCAGCTTTTATAATTGGGCTTTTGTTCTCAGGCCTTTTCATATGTCTTTCCTTAGAGGTAACATCATGTGTGAGAGCTAAAGTTCTCATAAACAGGCCTCTGCTCCCAGATGCCATGCACAGATTAGCCAAGGAATTTTCTCTTTGGTTTCTCCTCTGTACCTCTGTGTTTGGTTTCTGTATTTAGTTTTGGACAGGCTGAGGCTAGATGGATTACATATGTTCATTACTGTATCTAAAAACTTTTTTTTTTTTTAACAATATGTGTATGTTAGTCCAGAAATACATGTATTCTTAATATATATCTCTAATTTACTTTCACTTGTTGTTTACAAATTACTTGCTGCATTTAGTCTTCAGGCCAAAATCAAGCTCTTCCTATATGTTTCTACATTCAGCATGTAATGTGTTAAAATTATAATTTAAACTATGTTGCAGTTCTACAAAATATTAAATGATATGTCATAACCTGTGATTGTATTTTTTTATAGAGTTGCTAAGGTAACAGGCTGGAACTTGTGGTTCAATTTTGTTGAGCTGACTGTTTACCGCATTTAAAAAATAAAAGATTTATTATGTTATGTTGTATTTATTATTTCTATAACCTCTGCAATTCTCCATGGGCTTCTATGCCAAGGACAATGACAGCCTGCTTTTGGGGAGTACTTTTATCAGGGGAGATGATGTAGGGGAGAGATCTATAGCACTAGACAGTAGATCATTAAGTGGCTTGTTTCTCTTACAGAAGACTCCAAAGTCAAGGGATTTTCATGATCTGTCAAATTTCCTTTGTTTTCCTAGTACATGGTAGACGTTTGTTCCTGGTGCATAATTACCCTAACATTTAGCATTACTCTTTGCTGAAGCCCTTATCCTTATCCATGCTTGGACCAGGCACATCTTATCCCCTTCAGGAGAAGCAACAAGCCTCCTTTGACCTGACCCTGGCATTCGGTACTGAAGCTTTTGCCATCTCACTGCATCTTGGGATACCTGGCAAGCTTCAGAAGTGCCTCTGTTGTATGTTAGGCCAAGCACAATCATCTGGGCAGGCTTTGCTGCCTGTGCTTTTCACCATGCCTATTATACCTGAAATTCCACTTAATGTCACTACAATTCCTTGTATTCAAGGGTTTCTGTGCTAGCTACCTGCTTCAGTATTTATTTTACCGATTCATTAATATTTTACAATATATTCCTTTTGGAATTGTAGAATCCCATCTTTAAATTAAAAGTCAGGTGACAATCAAATGCCTGTAGACTGTATTTTCACCACTTACGGGCAGTTCTGAAGATACAATTTAGATACAATCCTAAAGATATTTCAGATACAATTCAGGGAATCTCGGTTTCAAGGCTTAGGAAAAACCTTTCTCACCCATCACTTCAGTAACAAACTTGCTGCTTCCATTGAATTGGGAAAATGGTATGAAAGCATAATGTGCTTATTAAGTATAATGTTTTAATCCACCTAGTTTACTGCTTTCCCACCTGCCCTTTACTTGCAGAGGACTTAAGATAGAAGCTAAAGGAAATGCAGTTATCCTGCTGTTGTCTATTTAGCTTTCATTAAGTAAGTTGGTGCATGGCTTGCACTCATTCTCAAAACCAGCCCATCATCTAAAAGTATTTACATAAGACTCTGCATTATACACCAACCTCTGCAACACTAGTATTAACTACCGACATCTGCCAAGGCTGACTAGTAAGTGCTTTACAGTATCAATTCATCCTAAGCAAAAAGCATGTTTGAGTGCTGCAGTGCTCTTGTTAATGCCAATAAGAAGTATCAGAGCTCATATGACACCTAGCAGAAATTAGTACCCACATTCAAAGAAAAGCTTTTGTTATTTTCCAGAGTATTATGTGGACTTTATTGAGATGACTGCATCTGACACCTGCTGTAATATAAAATGCAGCTATAATTAGCCAACTGATGCTCTCCGCAGTTTAGGTCGAATCCCTTCTGTGGGAATTATGCTTTAAAATATTCAGAACTCCAAGTGGCTCTCATTACATTTAATTTTTACTTAGAATTAGGTGGTCTAGAAAAAAAATTTAGGATTGTAATAGCCCCCCGCTGAATGCCACACAGCAACGTGAAAACCCATAGATTTTTTTCCAAATAAAAAAATGAGAACAGCAGACTACACTACAGCCTTCAATTGAAGTCTGGCTTTGCTTAATTGTACTTTTTGCACTCATCAGTCTCTCCTCTTCAGAGCAAGCTACAAAAATTGCCTGAATAGCCAAAGAAAAGTTTCCCACAGTCACTGGCCACAGAAAAACACCATTGTCCTTCCTCACAGTTTGATGGACAACATTTCTATAAATGGGTAGCCAGTCTGTCAATGGTACCCTTGCTGAAAAGGCAAAAGAAGAGAACAGATTCTGCCAATATCTGACAAAGCATGTTAACACATAATCAGGCATTCAGTAGTCAGGCAGCTGCCCCTGGGACCTTCATAACACAGGTGCCTTTAAGCCATTTCCTATTCAGAGATAAAGGAAACAAGCAGGAGATACCTGGGAAAGGAGCAGTCTATTGTGGCCTGTCAAATGTCCATCTTCTAGCCTGCCTGCATAAAAACAGCAAGAACATAAAGGAAACTTCAGCCTGACTGCTAAATTATAGAATAGCAAAATACTCTCCAACTCCATAACTTTAATCTTCACTTAAATAATAATTAAAAAGGTTAGGAAAGGAGGACCATGCTTTATAAGAAGTACCTTCTTCATTCTTTTTCCTGCATCAAACTGAGCAAAACATGTCCCCAAGGCCAACAACTAGAATAAAGCCAGCAGTGGTGGTCCCAGGACTACCACCTTCATCCATGGCAGTTTTGGCATGTTTTTTTCCATGCCTAATCTGCTCACTGCTTCACCCATCTGAGATTATTAAATTAATTCTTTAACTGAGGAAACTGGAATTTTCTGACAGACCAGTCTGGTGTAACTAAAACTTGATTAAGCTGCAGGACAAAGACTCTTTCACTCTTTTTTGCCAACTTTATCTTAGTAAGCCTAACAAACAAGTGACGTTTCATAGTCAATGTTACCTAAAGGCCACAAAGTAGAGTGATTATTTTAGCAGTGAATAGATCATGATAAAACAACAGTTATCTTTATGCAAAAGAAAACATTTATCTTTTGTGATTGTGCATAAACATGCCTATTTTATACACTTAGAATATTAAATGCTGAAATCTCTAGCCCCAAGTGGGAACTCAGTTTCCATTTAAGTAATCTCACTGATTTTTCATGGTGATTTTTGTCAGATGCCTGCATGTTTAATGTTAAACACAAGAAAAAACCCAACTCTTATCAAATTCTATGGAAGTTCCTGGTGGAAACAACTCCTGGAAGCATTATCAAGAAAAATGTTTCAAGAGATGTATTGCAACCTCTGGAATTGCCCTGATGTTGTTAGAAGGCTCCTGCAGGTGATGTGCTGTCTCTGAAAAGACAAACTGCTGCAGTGCAGCACAAAGCACTTGCAGTAGCATGGTATGAACAAGTAAATATCAAAAGCTCTTCCGTGCTCTTCTTTGTGAAACGGAGCTGGTCTTACCTTCTCCTCAAGCAAAAATGTTCCAAAGAGCACAGTTATGATTGTTCACAATTACCATTCTCTAAGCAGTTCTACTCTTTCATACAGGTGATATACATATATTTATATGAATATAAACCAGGAACATTTCTGAGTTCCTGCAATAAAGTTATTCAAATGGAATCCATAGACATAACAAAATCAAGCTGAAGACAAGAATGAAAAAGATTAAGAATGCTGTATTATAAGATATAAGTAATAATACTAAAAAAATCTATGTTGTATCTATGAAAAGGGTATCCTTTTTCATTTTTTTTCTTGGTCACTTTTGAGAGTGCCATGTACAACAAGGTTTCTTAGCACTGCCCATACCTGCACAGCTGAGCTGGAGTTAACACTTCTTAACGTTTAAAAAGGACTGCTTGTTCTCTGTTGAATCAGCCTCAGGTCATTATCAAACTTACAACTTAGGCCCAGTCTTGCAAAGGCTTTTACACACAGGCTTAGCTTTATGCACATGAATAGTCCTTTAGAATTCATTAGAATGATGTGTGTACAAAGTAAGCAGGTGCATGACTAGCTTCACTGAAGGATTGGGACCCAAAATGTCAAAGACTCCATATTCCCTATTAGCAAATGCCTCTTCTACATTAGAAAAATACTGACAGTGTAAAGATGAGTGTGATCTTTTGTTTTGTCCGTTTACTATAATACAATGGAAATCATTCACATAACTTTATAGTTAGTTTATATCCAACAAGGGCATTATGTATTTATTTGTACAGATGTAGAAGCTGAAGAATACTGCAGGTGGCATGAAGACAGAGTGATATATCCAGATGATTTAGGTGCCTATCTTACTCTGTGATATGAATATATTAACTCCTTAAGGCTATTTTGAGAGGGTCAACTCAATTACATAATATAGGTCCCTAATTTCAACTATCAGTCCATGAATTTCATGTCTAAAGCAGATATGGACCTAGTTCCTGAAGTCAATGGAGAAGCCTGCTAGAATATTGAATGACTGATCAGAGCAGTAATGATAGATGTGGTCTACTACATAACTGTCTAGCTACTGGAGCACAGAAATTTATAAGCTAAATTGCTGAAGCAGGAGGCAAATTTAAATTTAAGCAACTTAACAGTTCCACAGAGAAGGCTACTGTCCTGGGTTCAGCAGTAGCAGTCATTTTTTCTCCTTCTTAGTAGCTGGTGCAGCGCTGTGGTTTTGACTTTTGGCCTAGGAACAGCGCTGATAACACTGATGTTTTTAGTTACTGCTCAAATGTTTAGTCTGACCAAGGACTTTATGAGCCTCATGCTCTGCCAGGGAGGAGGGGAAGCCAGGAGGAAGCAGACACAGGACACCTGACCCAAACTCACCAAAGAGGTATTCCATACCACAGCAGGTGCTATGCCCAGGATGAGTGCTGCAATTAAACAAGCTAAACGTTTAAAGTCTCTTTGGTATGGAGGACAACAGCTGAAGTACAAACTTGGGGAGACCTGGCAGACTGATTATATCACACTCCCACCAACACACCAAGTCAAGTGCCATGTGCTTACCATGGTGGAAGCAACCACCAAATAGCTGGAAACATACCCTGTGCCCCACGCCACTGCCCAGAACACTATCCTGGGCCTTCAGAAACAGATTTTGTGGCGATACGGCACCCCAGAGAGAATAGAGTCAGACAGTGCAACTCATTTCTGGAATAAACTTATAGACACTTGGGCCAAAGAGCATGGCATTGAGTGGGTATATCACATCCCCTACCATGCACAAGCCTCTGGGAAAATCAAACAGTACAATGGGCTGTTAAAAACTACACTGAGAGCAATGGGTGGTGAGACTTTCAAATACTGGGATACACACTTACCAAAGGCTACCTGGTTGGTCAACATCAGAGGATCTGCCAACAGGGCTGGCCCAGCCCAGTCAGAAATTTTACATACTGTAGACAGGGACAAAGTTCCTGTGGTGCACATAAAGAATTTGCTGGGGAAGACACTCTGGGTTATTCCTGCTTCAGGTAAAGGCAAACCCCCTCGTGGGATTGCTTTGCTGAGGGACCCAGATATACTTGGTGAGTAATGCGGGAAGATGGGTAAGTCCGAGGTATACCTCAAGGGGATTTGATTTTAGGGGAAAACAGCCACTGAACTCAGTTGTATGCTGTTGCCTGCTATGTAATACTTTTATAGCCCACCAAATAGATGTCTTCAGGTCACCAGCGAGTGGCCCTGACTTCCCTCTGACCATCATCCCAACAGATAATGAACTTTTATAGAACCAGATGACTTCCGTGGTAAAGGAACCATCAGCATCACCAGCCAACGATCCAACGTTGCACACAGCCTCTCCTGCGCCGAAAGACTGTTACAAGAGATGAAACCTGAAATCATGGACTGAATGGACTCAGGAGCTTTATAGGGATTGGTCCATGCACTAAGGAATGATCTCTGTGTGTATGTGTGTGTGTGTGTGTGTGTGTGTGTGTATGTGTATATATATGTGTATATATGTAAGAGCAATGGTATATTGAAAATGTGGGATCTGAGCATGACATGAATGGTATGGAATAAGGGGTGGATACTGTCCTGGGTTCGGCAGTAGCAGCCATTTTTTCTCCTTTTTAGTAGCTGGTGCAGCGCTGTGTTTTTGACTTTTGGCCTGGGAACAGCGTTGATAACACCGATTTTTTTAGTTACCGCTCAAATGTTTAGTCTGACCAAGGACTTTCTGAGTCTAATGCTCTGCCAGGGAGGAGGGGAAGCCAGGAGGAAGAAGAGACAGGACACCTGACCCAAACTAGACAAAGAGGTATTCCATACCACAGCACGTCATGCCCAAGATGTAACTGAGAGTTACCCGGAAGGGGAGTTCACTGCTCTGTTGGGCTGGGTATCAGCGGGTGGTATTGTATTCTCTTCCCTTGTTATTTCCCTTATCATTATTATTATTATTGGTGGTAGTAGTAGTGATTTGTGTTATACCTTAGTTACTAAACTGTTCGTATCTGAACCCATGGGAGTTACATTCTTTTTGATTCTCCTCCCCATCCCTTCGGGAGCAGACGGAGGGAAAGAAGTGGGGGAGTGAGAGAGAGACTGGGTTGCTGATTTATGGCTGACTGGGTTTAAACCATGACAGCTAGGAAGACTATGTTTAGAAAAGGAGTCTGCTCCCAGCTAGGCTCTGTGAAAAGCTTGTACACAGCACAGCTTAAGAACCATGTTTTAAATATTCCGAAGCATCCACCACTATTATTACTTTTGAAATAATAGTCAAATTATACTAATAAAAATGCAAGCTACAGCTTTTAAAATCAGGCACTCAGCAATCAAGGAATCCCAAAAGTTAAAGTTTCTCTGAAGTATATGTGCTATATTCCTGTTTCCCTGTTAAATATAGATTTTCAAGTATCCCATTAAACCGAAGATAAATATATAATATGTGCAGCAGGTACATATTAATGCAGTGGAAAATTATTAATTTTTAGACTATCTTCAGGTATGAGTGCTTAATTTCACAATACTTGTATCAATTTACTGACAGTTTACAGACAGGGGAAACACGGTGAGCATAGACACCTACTCCACAAGACACCTTCTACAATTTCATGTGATAGTCTCAAAAGGAAATTATAAGAAGGAGGTTTATAATCGAGCCTTTCAAAGTAGCTATAAAAGTCTGAATTTTGTGAACACAGAATAACTGTAATAATAGTTCACTGACTTCTAAGAAGAGCTGCCGGGCTGGGCCTTGGAGATCAGTTCTTGATCCCAAATTATATAACTGAAGAATTTTGTGCAGAGGGGGCTAACCTTATTTGCAGGTAGCAGCAAGAAAGAGGGGGTGGACAGGTATAGAAAACTTACATATGGTGCAAAATTACTCAATGAAGACATGTAAAATAATGACCATGGAGCAGCATCAGAAAATCTTAAGGATAAAAATATTCAGAAAAGAAGGGCCATGTGGGTATATATCTGTGTCAAGATAAGGACACTAAAATAGAGCTGGCAACAGCCTCATGAAGAGTTTGCATTTTGTTAGAAATTACTGAAAGTCATAAATATAGGAAATTTATATTGTTTTGTTGTTGTTATTTTCTTGAAATGCAGATACATCACAGCTATATTTCCCACAGGTCATTTCATAAAAATCCCATTCCAATCCTGTATGAAGAGGGCTTTCTAAACTTTGATAGAGTGAAACACCACAAGGTCAGCAAAGACATTTGCTTTGAAGGAATGCAGCTCCTATCGGAGAATTAGATTTGTAATTCAGAGCCTTCATTTGATGAAGTTAATAAGAACATGGCTACATTTTATGGACACAGGCTGAGGTTTTCTTGGCTGGAGTAGCGATTAAAATTAGGCACCAGCTTAAACATCTTGTTGAACCAGGAGCCATAACCTTGTTTGGAGCAATGCCTTTTCCTGGGTACCCAAGTAGCAACAGAACTGAAGTACTCTCCTGAAACTGGAAAAATAAATAACAACTTTTATTCTGGAGGGTTTCGTATTCTGTTTTACTCCAGTGTGTAGGATACCACCAATTTCCTATTTAGAAACTGAGATAATTTAGAGCAGCACTGATAATCAGAATATTAAGGAAAACTACATTTACAGTAGTCATTGCCATGTTGCAGCACTTGCCTGGGGCTCTGGCCAGAATTCAGGATATTGTTTTTATCTTTGAAGCTCCTCAAGATTTCAGTTTAATTTTTTTCTGAACTGTTGTTGCCTCTTTTGTCTTTCTATGTGCTACAGCTGACATAAGCAGAAGTACACAGCATGAGCTTTTTGATTCAGGAGAAAAATCTGTTTATACATTACACAGGCTCCTTAGCTTAGCACTTCACTCTCTAGCATAACAAACCTCAACCACTGGTGTTCCGCAAAACACCCACCTTTCTTTGGGTGTTAGGGACAAAATTAAAGGGCAAGTTCAGAAATTGTTAATCTAATAATCAGCAGAAGAAATAGTGCTAGTTAATTATGACAGTGGTGACCAACAAACAGAACTTGTGTCAATTTATTAAACTTTACTGTGATTTTAAAGTTCTTAAAGGCATTTCTGACTTTTGGGGTCAGAAAGAAGTGTGTATCTTTATCATTCTATGAACCAAATAAAAAGGAGAAATAGTCCAAAACAAAAAAAGAATTATTTTCCATTTCAAAATTATTTTCACTCAACGATATTCGCTATTGAAAAACTTTATGGTTTATGCATATATTTTTGAAGGTGGTTTTGGTGGGAGAAGCTTTTATATGGCTCAGAGATCTATTTCGGGGATCAAAGCTGCAGAAGATTTAGTATTATGATGATAACTCTAGCCCTGAACGTTGCAAGCAGTTCCATATTGTTCCCTTCCTCAGTAGTCACATTATTAAAATATCTGAAAGTGGACATTACTGCCAACTTACACTTATTTAAATCTTCTGAACCCTGTTTATAAACTAGTATCTCTATCTCCAGCAATCCACTTCTTGCCAGTTTTTGACAAATTCCCTCCAAATTACCAGTATCTTTCCAGCAACGAGAGCTTCCAATATTTTATTGTTTCACCATCTTTAGTGAGGATGCCATGTAATTTCCTCTGTCTTTATAGGCCTGGATTTACTGTGGCCAGCTTTACTGCCAGAGGCATTTGTGAGTGTTACTGTGCACCACATGCAGTGAGCATATAATCATCTTTTGGAACCATTCTGCTCTGGTCTGTCTCTTTCATTAGATATGAATTTTTAACATACTTTGTCTTAGCTGTATTTGCATTCGTTTTTTTTTCCCTATTCTCATTTTCTCACATGCTCTCATTTTTCTGATCTTTTAAACCATTTTGGAATATTTCTGTTCTGTTCATGCTTGCATAATGCATTACATAATTTAATCTATGAAATTTCAGATTATACCAAATTTATTTAGCTAGCAGATGCAACATGGATCAAGGCCTTCTGGAACAGTGAAAGTAGGAAGAAAATCTGTGCCATCTTGACCCATAGGAATCGTTACTGTTTCTCTAAGAGAAGATCATTTTTTGCCATCAACAGAATGCAAAGATCCAGTTTCTGATTAGTAAACAGTAAGTGGACATCTAGAACTCTACAGACATGGTTTTTGGTCTACTTTTTTTTAATGATCACTGAATAAGTAACAGTACATCACCTACCTCCACCATCTCTTTACATCCTGCACATTCATCCATCCTCCCTTATATTTCAATGTATACGGCAGCATAACCTCCTGTATCCTTCTGACATTTATGTGGTTATCTATTTTTCTTTTGAAACATTTTGTACCCTGAAGCAACCTCTCACTAGAGGTAAAGATAACCTACTAAAAAGGTAATGAAAGATCTTAGGTCCCTCAACTAATAAAGCTACATTTAGCCACTGCTGAAGTAGGTTCCACCTGCTCCACTGCTCCAGGAAAGCTTCAGAAGTGGGATTTATCAGGTAGCTGAGCATTCACCACTTGAAGTTAAAACTTGGTTCAAATGCCTGGACTTGATCTATCTTTGAAGGTCATTGGAGGTTCAGTCAGAATGAACTGCCTCCTCTGACTCTGAGAAGCAACAACCAATGCCAGTGTGTTACCCCATATTCTGTTCTGGCCAGCAGATCACTTATATGTTTATTCAGTGTTATAGTGATGGTGGGGGAAGGAGAAAGGAGACTGTATTTTCCTTTATTCTTGAAAGCTTCATAGTTTGATCCAAATGAGATTATTATGTTTTGCTTGTTTCAACTGTCTGTCCAGAGATAAAACTGCAAGAAGCAGGCAAGGGTGAAGCAGCCAGTCCTTGACAGTGAGCTGGAAGCATTGCTGAACAGAACTGCAAAATAAAATTTCAAAATCTGTTTTAACTGACTACCATGCTCTGTGGGTTGAGTTCAAGATATTGTCACTTGACAAAACCAATAAATCTGAAGGAATTAAACAAATTTCTCTACATTTCAGGGCTTCCAAATCAGGAACACATTCTGCAATAATTTAGGCATTTCTGAATCCAGAGTGATTCTCATCATCCGAATCCAGCCAAATGCAATCTAGCTCACCTTAGATAAGATATCCTTGCAAAGCACAGCTCTCCATGAAATATATTGGTAATCATTAGCACTTAAGTCCTCTTTGGAATTAATTTTCCTCTGGAAATGAGGAGAGCTTTCCCTACTTGAGTCTTCTTAAATCTTTGTCTGCTGGAGAAACAGAATACTATGTCTTCAGTTTAGTGAGATTTATTTTCACTAAATTAAACTAAGTTTTATCTGGATATTTTAGAGAGGAATACCTTCAAACTACCTCCCAAAATGTAAGTCAAATAAATTAATCTGCCTTTCTAACATTTTTATTTAAGAATACTTTAAGCTTTGTATAAACAACAGCATCTACCATTTCCCAATGGAATAAAAAATACAGAGGGGAAGGAGAAATAGGAAGAGATATGAAGGTCAAAGATGAAAATTAGGGTATCAAAGGAAACATTAAGTAGAAGAATCTTTGTCAGTATTCATACTGTCTTAGGAAAAAAATCAAGTAGACTGTCTTAAGAGGGAAAAGTCTTGCAAGACCCATAATCAAGAGTACTCTGACAAACCTGCTCGTCTCAGTCTGATGAAAAAAACAACCTTGCTGTAACCAGAAGAGTCAAGGCTTTGAAGAGAAGCAGATACGAATGTAACGAAGTGAAGGTATAACCAGAAAAGCATCACTGAAAAGTGCAGTAATTTATATACTTAACAAGCACTCAGTGGAGGTACTCCTATAAGCATGCCTGCCCTGTGCCCATGCTGACAGCTCCATGGAGGTTGCTGAAGGGCAGAAAGGAGACAGGAGGCAAGGAAAATAGCGAGGGATTAAGGTCATCTCATATAGAAGGGATGCCCCACAAGCTTCTGCTGCAATCTAGGGTTCAAAGCCTGGTGGTACTGAAGGTGCCAAAGCAACACAGCAAGGTGGGCCAGCGCACTGACTCTGCAGCCACTGAGGTGGTCTTTTACCTGGTGGTCTACTGCATCAGGCTCAGACAGAGTTAATCTTCCCCATAGAAGTCCTCATAGTGCTGTGCTTTGTATTGGTAGCTAGAACGGTGGTAGCTGCCTCTCTAACATCCCCCCTCTCTAACATTCCTCTAATCAGTGGGCTGGGGGTAGGCAAGATCTTGGAGGGGACATAACCAGTATAGCTGACCCAGACCAACCAAAGAGATACTCTATACCATACAGTGTCTGCTGAGCTATGAATGTAAGAGAAAGGAGGATGAAGGGGAGCCATTTGTTATTTCTGTAACAACTGCTATGTGTACTTAAGCCCTGCTTCTTGTGACTGCTGATGGGAAGTAGAGAATAAAATCTTCTGTTTTCTTTTGCTTCTGTGTCCACAACCTTTCCTTTTGCTTTATTAAACTGCCTTTATCTTGACTCATGAGGTTTTTTTCCCCATCTTAATTTTCTCCCCTCCCCGTCCTGCTGAGGAGGCCGGTGATAGAGGCCTGGTGGGCAACTGGCATGCAGCCAGGGACAACGCACCACAACTGGATGCAATGGACCAAAGCTAGGAACCGCTGCAGGGTTCCAGAAACGTCCACGGAAGGAGCAAAAGTTACGATGCTCCCTTAGGCTTGGGAAAAGGGGCTGCTCACCACCCTAGAAGAATCGTACTGTAGGGGAGAGTCCCCCCCCCACGGCAGCATGGAAACCCGAAGGGGGGGGCAGGAGAAGGTGACAGAGCAGCCTCAGCAGCCTGCGCCCTGCTACCCCAGCCGAGCCGCTGCCCCAAGACGCCTCTCCCAGGCTAAGGTGCTGAGCCATCCCTACTAGAGTTCTCCAGCCCCCTGTGGCGCCCAAAAGGGAAACTCCCCACTGCAGCGCTGCGAGGACGGTCACCCCCTTGCGCAAAGCCGGCCTCTAGAACGCAGCCCGCGGTTGGCTGCAGCTCCCGTTCATCAGTCCTCGGGGGCGGGGCCAGCAGGCTCGGCCATCCGAGGAGTTCGTCATAGCGGAGCGACGCCTGGGATGCTGTTGGCGGTCGCGGCCCGGCCTGGTGTCATGGCGGCGGCGGCGGCAACAGCCCCCAGCCCGCCCCAGCCCGGCGGACACGCTCCGGAGATCGGCGCCGACCCTACGGCCTCGGAGGTGGCGAGCAGCGCTCTGCGCTGCCTGGCCGGGCTGGCGGGGCAAGTGAGTGCCGGGCGGGCGGAGGGGGAGGCCTGGGGCAGGGCTGGCCCGGCCGCCGCGGGCCCCACACCCCGCCTCGCCCCGCCGTGAGGGCCCCAGCGGGGCGTGCTCCTGCTTTTCCCCGGCTTGCTGGGCCTTTCTGGGTTCCAGGGGTGGGGTGCGACGCGGGGAGAAAAGAAGCCTGGCACAAGCAGGGAGCGTCACCGCTTCTGGAGGCTGTTAGCGCCTGGCCGCAGGAGCGGTGCAGCCCCTGACAGGGGCTGACAGGTGGCGGGGCCGGCTGCATCCCTCCTGGCGTGGGCAGCCCCCGGCTGCTGCTGTGTGCCCTCACCGTGCCTCTGCCTTCGAGTAACGGGACGGCTCATGTCACTTTGCAGTTTGAAGGGTGATATCTTCCATGACAAACTGCAGTCTGCCTAATTGCAGTATCTTAACAATTAATGATTATGAATTGAAAAGCTACTAAAAGCTGGCTGTGCATTGAATCAAAATAAATGATTAGGAGCTTGAAGTTAGGCTTGCTTGGTAATAGCATGCTATGAAACACACAGTGCGACTCAGTGGGTCAGAATTTTTAAAGCAGCTTTGCTGTGGTACTTAAGTTGAAACACTTACTTTAGATTTAGTAATGGCTATGAATTATTTAACAGATGTTATGGTAGTGGTGGGAGGCCCTTACCAGGAGATGGTTTTAGTAACAATTTGATTGTTACCATAAATAATTTACAGATTAATTCCTTTTCCACTGTGGAAGCATATAAGTAGTTTTGTGAAGGTGATAGTAGCACACCGTTGCTTCTGAAATTAGCAGCTTGAAGGTTTGGGGCCAGGTGATGAGTGATATTTGCAGGAGAGAATATACTTTAGTATATGCTTATGTTACAGAAATGCTCGGAAATGTCCTCTGTTAGATATAGAGGCAGTTTAGTAGTAGCTGCTGGCTGATGTGAACTTATTTTTTTAAATATTTCACCTTGCATCTGAATAGAATTTTGTATTATATTTGCTTCTAGTCTCAAAGTCTGCGAGTAATTTTCTTCATTTTCAAACAAAAGTCATCCAGAATTAAGAGCCTGAAAAGTTAGGTGCTGAATAGTAAGAGTCTCAGTTTTGTTATTGCTAAAGTGATTAAAAACTGCCCTAGCTTTTGAACAGGAGTGCAGTGCTCAACAACTTGATGATCATACGCTGTTGATTCATGGGCTTACTGAACAGGAAAACTATGTATGGAAGACAAAATATCCTATAATTCTTTCTTGTGAAAATTCTAAATGTAGTCAGTGAAGAAGTAGTGACTGTCAGTTTATCTAGATGGCAGATACTGTCATTCATACTGCTGTTCTTACAGTGTTAACATGAGGGAAAAGTTGAGCTCTTGTATTTATGAAAACCACAAAGAATAATATCGGGAAAGTTTCCTGAACTCTAACTAGGGTACTTGTCACGAGTTTAATTAATTGTTTTCAAACCTACATTAATTACTACTTTCTCTCTTACTTGTTTGCCATGGTTGCTCTGTATTTAGTAGAGTTTAGTAATTTTTGACATTGTTTCGACATGCACAGCCAGTTGCAAGAAATCGGTTTAGAGTTGCTATATCTGCCTCAGTAGACTTACATTAGTTGTAGTGTAGAGTAAAATTGTCTTCATTGGCATTTGGAACGTATTCTTTCCATAGCAACAAACCAATTTTACAGTGCACTGCACTGAACTATGAGTAGGGGTCTGGTTGCTCCATCTTAGCTGAGGCCCATTTAATTGCTCAGTCATGATTGTTTCCAGTCCTTGAGTTAAACTTTTGTCTGCCAGCACTTGAGGTCTGGTAGATTTAACTGGTGTTCTACCAGGTTACTGACTCCAACAGTCCATCTTGGATTTTTGACTGAAACCACTGATTCCTCATTTCCCTTTTACAGAGATGAGTGTACATGTGCCAGATTAGCTGTCACAGTTTATGATCCATTGTAGTAGTTTAAGTTGGATTTATGCTAGCAGTTTGGACTGGAAACAGGAATATTTCTGGCACAAGAATTTTTTTACTAGAGCATTCACTTGAAGCACAGGAGACATCTAGGGATAACAACTCTTAAAACCAATATGACTGATCATGAAAAGTTCTTTTAAACCCCAAGTAACAGTGTCTTTCATAAAACAATTTCAAAGGGCTGAAATGACTTATGATCCTGTAAATTGCTAGGCTATGGACTTGTAAATATACAAAGGCTTTGATGTTAGCAAATCACAGAATTTATAAACCTGTCACAGTTCTTAGAAGCAGAAGGATGAGAAAACTAATTATGTTGTGCTAGAAACATGTTTGGATGCAGGAGAGGCTTATTCTTATGTTTGAGGACAGTGTCTATGAGTTTAAAATATCACTGATCTAAATTATTCCAAGTCAGAAGTTCTGTCGGTTTTGTACATTGAACCATATGCACAGGAGTCACACACTGTGATACAAAGGCACACATCATCAGATTCTCTGTGAAAAAAACAGGCTTATTAGGAAATTGCAGTAGGACTCCTGTTTTGTTTCATTACGATGACTTACATTTATGCCTTTTTTTCCACTGTCCGTGCACTGTAATGTAGAATATAGCAGATGTTACTCTTCTCTTTGGGAAGAAAGACGTGCTTCAGATGATCCCATGCAGAGTGGCTAAATTCCTAAAGTTTTCTTCTTACTAAATTCTAAAATTCTTGATTTTTTGTAAGGTGTTCAGAACTAGTATTTCCTTGCTTTTTTTCTACATCCTGTGTAGTTTAAGTACTACACAGGAACAACTATTTGTGTGAAAACTACCTAAAATATATATCTAGTCAGACCAAGGCCTTTGCTATGTAACTTGGAATCTTAATACTGGATTTAACAAAATTGTTCTTTGACTAAAGAAGGAAGGCTCAGGCTTATAGTTCTTTACGTACAAAAATGTGATAATGCTGGGGTTTAAAACTAACCCAGAACAACTCACTATCCACTTCTTTGCTTTCAGAGTGATGGAGGCATTCTTGTGTTTAGTTTTCATTGTTTCCTTATAACTCTGTGTGATGGATTTAGGAAACAAGTACATTTGCATTCTGTGTTCTTGTCCGTAATATTTGGTGCTGTTAAAAGTTAAATATCTTTAGACCATATGTTAAAGGTCACTTTTGTCATCTGCTTGACATGTCTCTGTTTTTTTGTTTGTTTCTGTTTTTTTAATATTTTTTATATTTGTTTTTTTTTTTTTGTTGTTGTTGTTTTTTGTTTTTAAGAAAATGGACGGAATGAGATGTAGACATACAAATATTTATTTGACTTTGAAATTCTGTTTCTCAAATAGAATACCTGAAGGTCCTCTTGATTCTTAGCTAGGGTTTTATCTGTATTTAGAATTTAGGGATCCCTTACAGATTGGTTGGAGAACAATGTACTTGGCTTTGCGAAATGAAAGTGCTTGTTGCTTCAAGATCTCGCAAAAAGCTTTAGTGCAACAAAAATAGCAAAAGTGGGTGTTAAAGTGTGTAGTTCATTGATGATTATTAACAAGCTGCTTAGTATTAGAAAGTGAAAGTTTATTTTTAATCTTCAGAAGATACATAGTTGCTTTAAATAAACCTTCAGATTCACCATATATGTCTCTGTTGCTTTGGGAGTTAAATATTGCAATTCCTTGGAAAAGAGGACTATGGCAGTTGTTATTTTGATCTGAATGCATATAAAGGAAAATAGTGTGATTTGGAAATAGGTTTGATAGTTGTGCTCTATAGTATAGAGCTTGTTTAACCTCAAGATTTTCATTTTTTTTTAATGCTTATTTTTAAAGCAAAGCCTCCTTTGGATTAGCAGCAAGTAATAATTTTGAGAATGTGGCATGGTGCAGTATCATGACCTTGGTCATGTAGGAATAGATAGCCTTGCAGATCTCAGAATAAAATACATGAACTTACAGGAGACTGCTGTCCTGGGCGCATGTTTCTTCCTACTGGAGGTTCTGTCATCTGCTAAAAGAGAAGATTTGAGTGATTAACCTGACCAGTATGTTTTTGTATGATAGTTAATTGAATTGAGAATCGACTGAAGTTAAAGATCAAATTAATACAATGAAAGTGTGATGAAGTAGTAAGGAATTTTTAATTTTTGAATATACTCTACAAATGCTAGCTTTCCATGAAAATGACAGCTGCTTGAATTATAATTAATGTCAAACCTCTCCAGTGTCTTCATATAAAAATGGGATCTGTATGAGATTGAGCATAATTGTTGTCCTGTAGGAGTCTTGTATACTTTTGTGACATTAATAGAACATAGCATAATTTTTTGTTGTGTTTGCTTTGTCCTTTTGAAGCTTAACCTTGAGGATGATATCGTGAAAGTTGTAATCGATTGGAGCAAGCTTCAAAGCACATCAGCGCTTCAGCCAACGTTGCTCTTCAGTGCACTTCAGCAGCATATTTCATGTTTGCAGGTAAGTATTTCATTGGACATATTTGACTTGATAAAAGTGATCAACAACTGAACGTAGTTATGTTATCTAAACTGTAAAATTTAAGTTGGTTTTGTTCTGACATTGCTGTGTCTAACAAAAAATAGTGCGAAAGTGTTATATGCTTGGGATTCCACTGTGCCTAATCTGTACTCATGCTTATGGATTTTTCCGATTAGTGGTGGGAATAGCCACTGTAGGTGAGCAGGCTGAATAAACGCAACCTCATTGATTTCTAGGCTTGCATTGTAAATGTGATACATTTCCATCTATGGTGGGTTATAATTAAGCAATAAGACACGGCAGGTGTGTGTCATGCTATGATAATGATTCCATGCGTTGGGTGAGTTTTGAGGCTCATGGAGTGCTTTCAGTGGTTCAAGAAGTGGCATTATCCCAGCATGACACATCCTGGAGTGTCTTACTGCAATTAAATATATTTTCAGATATTTTTTTTTTATTTTTTTTTAAGAGTAATTTCTTTGACATTAATGTCTCATCTTGCCAAGTAGCCAGTCACCATTACTGTCATTTCTTTTAACTATTTGAAACTTTCCAACCCTGCCAAAAGTATGTGTAATTTAGTTGCATGGCAGGGAGGGTGAGCAATTTGTCAGCTGGTAACAGAACAGTGTTTTGACTTGATAGTTCATCTGTAAAAGGTGGGGATTTGAATACTAGTGTTTTGCTTCAGCTAGTCAATGTATTATTTCAAGTGTGTAGTACTGAGAGGGTTAAAAAGGAATTTCCTGTATTTGCTTGTCTGTAGGTAAAAGAAAGACCCTTTATGTTTTCCAGACATCCACCAAATCTTTGGTGTGATGAACAAAAAGAGAAAATATGCAAGATAAAAGCAAGTAAAAATCACACCCAACTGTAAGAACACTGCAAGTAGGAATCTGATTCATTTCAGGAAATGTAACTGATAAAAAATCATGTTGTCTTTAAAAAATAATTTCTGGAAGGAAAATAAGCAGTGAAATTCAGACTAGGTGAAACTGGTAACAATTTAAAAAAAGGGGGTGACACATACATACGTTCTGGGGTTTTGCTATTACATCTGTGTAAGAGTTATTGCAGTAGAATAAGCATTTCTTTTTGCTGCTATAAATGTCAGTGCATTCTTTCATTTAATTTCATGACCTAAGTAGATAATAAACCGTGTCAAGAAAAGCATGTGTTCAGGATAACGCTAATATATATCCTGTCTGTGTTCTCTCATTTGCTTGGGCAACTGCAGGTTCAAGTGGAGAATGTAGTGCTGTGGTGATAAAGTAAAGGCTTTGCAGTGTGAAAGCATTGGCTTTTATGTTAAGGAAGAAAAATACTAAGCCTTACTGTTCTGAGTAGGCATTTGAATGAAATGCTAATTAAGTGGCATTGATGCCAATGATTGACACTTTGATTTCCCTAGTAACAGATGAGCAGCAGGCAGATTTTTGCAGAAATTTGGGAGTTTTCCTATATAAACATCTAAAAGGCACAGGTCAAAAAGGCCAGAATCATGGTGTGCAGAGTATTTGAACAATAGCCCTTTTTTCCCTTTTTTTAAATTTTATTACTGTGTTCCATCACAGGCAGATGTTGTAATTCCTAAAATTATCTCAGTTGGTCTGTTTTAGAAACTGTAATAGTATTTGGCTTTTTTGCTTTTTCTTTTGGGGATTTTTGTGGGGTTTGTTTGGGTTTTGGTTTTTTTTTGATAACCCTAACATACTGTTTTCTTTGTCTAGCCTCTTTTAGAAAAACTCCAGTCTTTGATTAAAGAGGAAAATATAGGCCATGTTGAACCTGCAGGTAAAACAGGCAATCAAACTTGTGAAACAAGTTTAGGTGTTTATGATGGTAACGGTCAAACTGAAGAAAAGTATGCAAGTTATGATTTGGGAGACCTGAAGGAAGCTCATATTAATTTTGACCCAGAGGTGGTCCAAATAAAAGCTGGAAAAGCAGAAGTAAGTGATTTACCTAAATAAAAATTAAAGAGTAAAAGATCTTTCTGAATTCTAAATTTAAAGAATGAAATGGATATATGCCATCATGTTTACTATTTGCAGATTGACAGGCGGATATCAGCCTTCATCGAGAGGAAACAAGCTGAGATCAATGAAAATAATGTCAGGGAATTTTGCAATGTTATTGATTGTAATCAAGGTAACTGGATACCCAGACTTTAATCTGCATAGCAGTTTAAGTTGGCTGCTTTTGATTTTTGGTTTGGGGTGTTTTTTTGTTTGTTTGTTTGGGTTTTGTTTTTTGATGGTGTTTTTTTTTTTTTCCATTTGTTCAAAAGCATTATTCTATATTTAAAACAGAACTTCATTTTAAGAGTAAATGTTTTAATCTGCATGTGCACTGAAGATGTTGTCAGATAGACCAAAAAAAGGAAGTAGTCCCTTTAATACATCCCGTACAGAAAGATTGTAGCTATTACTGTGTTCATTTTAAGAACTATAATCTTAAATCAGATGATTTCATAACTGTTGTTCAGTGGTTTAGCTAGATGTTCCTTCCAAAGTCAACCGAATTACAATTCAGAAATAACTTGTGAATTACATATTCAAATTAAAGTTTTAAATTGACTATTACCTAATGCTAGTTAAATTACAAAGAAGTACTTTTTGCAATCAATTTGAATTACTAGCTACTTAGAATAACTTTTTCCTTTCAACATTAGTCACAGTGTTGGTGTTTTTAATGCACCAACTGGCACAATTTGCTGTATCTATAACCAATCTTAAATTCATCTGGCAGGCTGGATCCCATTAGCATGATCAGTGACTGTGTAACCAAATGCATCTTAAAACTGAAGACACTTTATTATACATAAGTATATGGGGACACTTTCTAAGTACCTGTGAACCCAGATGTGCATCGTCTCTGTGATATACTTACGCTTTTAGAGATCAAAGCTTATTGTTCCTTAAGCTTTATAGGAAGAGAGTTTAACTGCTTGAATGTTTGTTGGAATGGAAATGACAGCTGAAATCTAGTTGAATATGTTAGACTTTAAAAGACTGATTCCTAAAATTAATTACGTACAGGAGAAATTATGAAAAGACCTTCCTTTGTACGTTGAGGCATAACAAAAGATGTGTAAAGCTTTGGTGTATATTAAGAGAGATTAAAATATAAACATTAGAATATACTAAGATGGTCTGGACTGTAGGCCTTTATGGTTAAACAAATTAAAGAAGTCACAGGCATCAGAATAAATGCAGGAAGGTGATAAAAGAATGCTGATGAGTAACTAGACCAGTGTAAAATGAGAGGAGAGTTTCAAAAAAGGACAGAAAACCAGAATAATAGTGGTAAGCAGGGAAGAGAATTCTCTACAGGAAGAAAGACATAAGTTACAGAAAAACGCAGTGACAAGAACCAAATAAAATGTAAATTGGAAGAAATTTGGGTTGATCCAATCAACTTTCATATACACGTGTACATACATTTATATAAGTGACTCACCCAATTTAAACCAGTAGGTCCATGAAAGTGTGTGAAACTATAATGAGTGCTTTTGTAGAATGAAAGAAGTATTTCTGATGTTTTAATTGTATGAAAAATTTTCATTAGATTTGTTAAAAGCCTCAAAGCTGATGATGGTTAGAATATTTTAAATTATAAAGACATAATTAGGACCTGACTTTTTCTGTCATTATTATTTATTTAGAAAACAGCTGTGCCAGAACAGATGCAATTTTCACACCCTATCCTGGATTTAAAAGCCATATAAAGGGTAAGCAACTACTTTAATACTCCTTTATTAAGTGTCCAGATAGAACAATATGGATCAATTTTTGACTTTAAAACTTTTTATAGAATACTCAAAAAATGCAAACTTAACATAGTGATTTTTGAGTCTCTACTTTTACATCCTCACGTCTCCAAGGTTTTCAGTCCTGTAACTCCTTCATTAAGTCGATGGTTATGCTCTAAAGAGCAAAACAAAGTAGCTTATTTTCATTGTCTGGAAGGAAAGATACAGAAGATAAAGTGGAACAGAGAAACAGAACAGTTCTTAGCTTTTTGTTTAAGGCAATGCCAGCAGTCCAGTTGAGGAATTGAGATTCGATAAAATTATCTTATATTTTTTGTTAGTTGGTGTAACCAGATTGGTTTAGAAACAGTTTTGGGACACAATGGAAGTTCTGAGGTACAGGTTTATGGGAAGTGTTGAGCTGGGCACTACCTTTTGGAAAAAAGTAAATAGTGCAGAAATGCTTGTCCAGTAGAAGTTACATATAAAAGATTGCTTGTCTGTCTGCTGTTCTCTAGGTGTACAAAAGTTACTCTGTGCTTAAAAACAAATAAATGAAACCTCCAAAATGAGAATGAAAGTAACTTGTCCATTTTCAAGAGTGGTAGTATACAGTTATCCACTTGATACTGCTTCTAGAAACCAATTCATTATTGTGAGTTGAGAACAATAGTGTGAAGCATGACAGGTATAAGCAGTAAAAGGTCTGGTGAATTGAGGGAGATAGGAAAGTGAGTTTGAGTTTATAATCTTTCACTAAGAACTGGTTTCAGTAGTCACATTTTTTAAACTGAGTACTAATTTGTAACTTGGATGGTATCATATTACAGAAAAAAAAGAAAAGCTTGCACTTCAAGTAACTAAAAACTGAACAGTCAATGAACTGAAATGTGAATAACACCTAGAAAGGAACTGGAAGTAAAGCCAGCATAAACTGAAGCAAAAATGTGACGTGACCTTCATGAAGTATTGGGCAAGAAAGTATGTGCTTCAGTGTCTGGAGTTCCAACATAGTCTAAACCTGCAGTACACTGCAGTAGTCCTGTCAGGAGGGACTTGAGAAAGGACCATGATTTAGAGAAGGGATGAAAATGTTCTGATAAAGACATGCTTTAGGAGAGGAGGAAAGATAGACCCGGAAGCAGCTGAAGAGTTATTAAAGCTGTTAACCTGAATAACAAAAATTAGAAGAGAACTTCCTTGCCGAGATTTGTAGCGGTTCTTCTAGTTGTTTACCTCCCCTCATCTTCATGTATTTATGATGCTTCCTGTAATACTAGGTCTGGCCTTTTCTTTGCATTCACAACAGCTCACATGTGCAACTGCTGACATAGATATTGGGCTTTCTGCTATTTATCAGCAGCTGATGACAAACTCTTGATACTGCCGTTCTACATGAATGTATGAGTAATTCTTTTACTTTGCATATGTAAAGTCCTAGGTTTTTTTTTGTTTGGTTACTTGTGCAAAAATAGGAAAATACTTTTACTTGAACCTTTGATCTTGATTATGTGTGGGACCCTTCACATGAGACACTGGTGTGAAATTTGATTTAGCACAGGCTTTTTATATTTTACCATTTTGATTGGTTTAGTTAGATGTACGTTGTGTTTCTTGTGTATGTGTATTAAATTTGTGTTCTCTTTACCTAGTTTCTAGGGTAGTAAATACATATGGTCCTCAGACTAGATCTGAAGGAATACATGGGTCCAGTCACAAAGCCAGTGTCCCCATTCATGATTGTGGAAACCAAGCTGTTGAGGAGAGATTGCAAAACATTGAAGCACACTTACGGTTACAGACAGGTTTGTATCATGCTTTGACATCGGTACGTCAGTTTGTGTTAGTTATTACTGTAGTAAAACTGGACAGGTCTGTAAAAACTGTGACTGTAAAAACAATGGATAGATCCATGGAAGGGTTTAGTCATCCCAAATACTACAGTCATATGTTTAGGTTCTTATACCCAAAATGGAACCCAGATTCACACCCAAGTTAGGATGCTGAGTTAGTAAATGCATGCTCAATGTGGTGGCAAATGAAAGAGAGGCACTTCAGAATGGGATTAAACAAGTCTGGAATATTTGGAGGTAGGGATTCTCAATAGCCAGTGGAGTCCATCTGCCTTGACCCAATGAACAGGAAAAGCTGAGGTTAGTATTCAGTCCTGTGTCATGGACACCTTCTGTGTCAGAAAGTAAAATACTCCAAATACTGTTGAGGTAGCAGAGCTTGATGTTTAGCTGTATAACCATCTCAAAAATAAGGTGGATTTTGTGCATGGAAATAGAATTTGCAAGTGGCTGGCCAGCACTAAGGTTACAATGCAGCTTTGGAGTTTATGCATATCAGAGATGACTGGGAGTAGCTAAGGAGGGGTCCTTGCTTCCTGGTTCTGCCTATAATAGGTGACATAATTTTATTTTAAGGAACAGGTTTTTAAACTACAGTATAGGGGAAGAGGAAAGTGTGCAATTCCAGCTCAACTCCTGTCCAAATCAGCATTCAGTGCTGAAGGTCTCAAGGTCATTTTTTACTTACCCCCAGCAGCTGTGCAAAAGGTAGTTATGAGCTGCCTCAGTTCCCTGCTCACTGGTTTTGGTTTATAATGATGGAAAGGGTTGTTCTCGACTCATCTGCTGTTTATCTGAACAGCTTCTTCTACTGCTAGTACTGCTCTTTTCCCTTTACATTAAGAGTTAGCAATATTAAGAAGAGTGAGAGTCAGCCGATTCAATTAGTAGCTGCTGAGTGATGAGAACAGAACTTAAAAGGAGGGAAGCTACCTGCAAAATGGTCTGTCTGAAGTGAGGGAATAGATGAATGGCAAAAAAACCCATTAGTGCTTATTTCAGTAGTTTGTGCAATACAATTATCTTACCTAACAGACCTAGAAATAAATGGAAACAAGTGGCAAAAGAGTAATTAAAAGCTTGCTAAGGCTCTGGTTGTCATTGCTGTTCAGAACCAGACTGTCATTTTAGTTGGGATAGCCAGTAGTTAGTTGTGATAAACAGTGATTTTAGTTTATAGAATACTGTGTAGCATGGTACATAGATGCTTTCTGAGGCTGATCTTTTGATCAGTTCTGTTCTTAAATGGGAAAACAAGCCTAGCCTGCTGTAGTATAGCTGCAAACAGCAAATGGGTTGAGGTGGGTTTTTTTGTTGCTGTTGGTTTTGTGATGTATGCAGGTTTGTTGGTTTTTTGTTTGTTTGGTTTTTCGGCGGGGGGAGAGGGGGAAGGGCTTGTGCATTTTTTTGTTTGGTTTTTAGTTTTTCTCTGCTGTTGCATTCCACACAACATTCCACACCCCTGCTTCTCCCATCTGTGCCTAAGCAAATGTTAGTCTTTGTCAAGTGCAGCTCATACCTGTCCTCCTAACTTCTGATGCTCAGTGGAGATAGGCTTTCTTCAGAACAATCTTGGATATTAGTGATGACTTCATGTGTGGTTGGCCATCCCCTCTTCTAGTGTGATTAATATATCATTAGAGTGAGCATTAGCTGTTCCAGGGACTTTGTCAGACATATTTCAGCCACCTGCATAAAGTTGTCTGTTGCCTTCACTGACTGCATTGGGTTATCAATCAGCTTTTACCTTGAATCATATTAATTACCCTTCCATTTTACTGCGGTGTCCACTTGTTTTGTTTCAGCTACTAGTTGGTAGCTGGAATCAAACAATTCACATGTAAAACTTGAAATCTTTAGTTTAAAAAGTTACTCAAGCACTTTTTGTGATTTCTTTGTATTTGTGTATTTAGGTGGTCCTGTACCAAGAGACATTTATCAGAGAATTAAGAAACTTGAAGATAAAATCCTTGAGCTAGAAGGACTGTCTCCTGAATATTTTCAATCTGTGGTAAGAAATTCTCTCATCTTCTTTTAGCATACCTGAAGGCATTTGTCTCTGATGTACAGACAAAACCTAAGGGCATACACTCTTGATAGAGAATGCTGACTTAGTGTAATAGCTACGTTTTATTTGGACAATTTGTGTAAGTTCATATTTCTACCTAATTTCTCATTTGAAAGAAAATAGTATACATTTGAGGGAAAATGACTGCAGCCACCCAAGATTCACAATTTGTAAGAAATTTGTTATAGAGGTTGGATTTCTGCACCTCCTTCTTCCCACTCCGTCCATCTCCCCACCCTACCCAGGCTGTCAAGCAGGTGGCTGAAGCATGTTACCTGCTCAGATGAATACTTTTTTGCAAAAAATCCCACACTTACCTGTTTCTTATGACAAGAAAATTGAGAAGAGTTTTGATCTCGGTACAGATCATTAATAGCTTAAGTCCTTTGGGCTTCTGTACATTACCTGATTACGAAAGATCAGGTATATGAAGTAACTTCCAATGGGAGAGTAAACCCTTTAAAAATTGTTTCATGTGATTCTATAACTTTTGTTTCTATGTTGCTAGTTTTCAGGCAGAGTTCTGTTTCTTTCTGAATAATAAATGTTATCTGCCATTCACAAAAGAAGATTAGGACAAAGAGAACATTAGTTATTACTACACCGAGCTCTGGTTGGCTGTAGAAATTTGTCTGTTATTTTGTTATTCTTTCCCCATGTAACACTGTCTCTTTTACTATTGATAATACTTTAATTCATATCTTCTCCCATATGACCAGCCAAAGAAGAGTCTGCAAAAATCAATGGCAGTAGTACGTTTTTTGTTTGTTTGGTTGGTTTATGTTGGAGACCAGTAAAACCCTTTATTTGTGAGGCTCTTCCTTCAAGTTGTTGGAAACCAGAGTTTAAAACATACATTTTTATAAAATGAGATTTCCACGGAAAAGGCTTTAGGATCTTCTCTAGAATGGGGGTCTGTGAAAAATTTGTGGTCATGGCAATAGTAGTATTGTACAGTAATTAGAATTCTTTTGTCCAAACTTCTGCAAAAATATTGGTGTGAATACAGGAAATTTTGGGGGAGATAAATACTGACAGTTTCGAAAGCTGGATATTGATCTTGGTTTTGTCTGAAGGAAGCTTCAGTTAAGTTGATAGTTGTTGGCTGCCACGCCTGGAGAAGTTTCAACAACTTCTGAATGTTCTCCAGTAGTGTTCCTTGTGATCCAAAGTACTTAATTATAAGAAAAGATTTCTTTAATCCATGGAATGGCAGTCTGTGTTCTTTGTGCACTTTAAAGACTCTTGTCAACATTGTTACAGAATTACTTGTGGTCCTTTGTCAGTGCAACATTAAGTCTCTTTTGATTATGTCTTTTCTTTAGAGTTGTTCTGGCAAGAGGAGAAAGATTCAACCTCCTCACGTAAGTGCTGTTAACTTTTGTTTACCCTAAGTTTAGGATGTTCTGAGTGAAAAGTAATCAGAAGTTCTATCAAGCAAATATCTAACTTCTCAGAAGTAGCTGCGTCAGTATTGGATATCTTGCTGGCAAAGAAAGAAGACAGAAAGTTAATGGATGTCACAGTGAAATGAGTCTTCTAAGAGTTTATACTGGAGTAGGTTATTTAGTGTTTTCACCAGTTAGATGAAAGAATAAAACAAATCTGTAATGTTGTTAATCAACAGGGGGGTAACAAACAATTTGCAAGTTCTTACCAGCCTTTTAGTAATGTGTTCTGGTTTGGTTTTGTTTTGTTTATGGCTTGGTGGTTATTGTTGATGTTTTGAGTTATTTTTTAATTTCCTTTATTGGTAAATTTATTAATAGTTATTCATATTTATTCATATTTGTGAAGAGACAATAAAAGTAGAAAGGTCTGGCTCAGCAGAAGTGTTGCAGAAAGACCTGACGTTACTAACCCGAGTCAGTAAGACTTGCCATTTTCACAACACCATCACATAAGGGAATGCACTAACTACGCACCTTAGGCCACAAGGGCATTTCTTCTCAGCGTGAGACTGCACCTGGGACACTGCTACTGGCCATCACACTTTGAGGCAGATGGCTAGGGAGAATGCTTAGAATGGAATATGCGCCATCAGAGACTTCAGGAATTAGGCTTGTTTACATGAGAAAAAAAGAAAAATCCTCCATAGAGTGAAATATGTTTATAAGAAGGCTGATGACCAGTTCTTTGTGTAAGAAGAGATAAAATGTCAGGTTAAGTGGGCACAGAGGACATTGATGTTGGGCAATAGGAAAAAAAAAACACTTCATTTGTAAAGCTGTGTTGTATAAGATCTGGGTAGGCTTGTTCAGTGTTTTAACATCAAAGGATATTTGTGTTTTGTTTTTTTTTCATGAACAGGTTAAATAAGCATCTAATGGAAATAGTATGGATATATTGATCCATGATTAGGACTGTCAGTTTCTTCTAAGTCTTTTTCTTTCAACTTTTAATAGTCATAGACTAGATTCAGACAATTCTGCAAATGTATTCGTATCACTTAGTGCAGTATGCAGTGACCTCAAGTTTAAAGTGCTAGGCCACTTCTCCAGCAATTACAAAATGTAAATGATTGTGTTTTTATTTTGTTCTTTTAGCAGAATTATTCATTGGCTGAACTTGATGAAAAGATCAATGCCATAAAACAGGCATTACTGAGGAAGACAAAAGAGAGCAAGTCCAAGGAGGCTGAGCAGCTTCTTCGATAAAAAAAAAGTATTTTCAGAATCCTCATTGTGCTTTACACATACCTAAACCATAGACTTGAGTAGTGTTGATCGGCGATGACTTCAGCAATGAAAGCAAAGCATGCTTATAACCTCCTTTTGGATGATCTTGAAAGCTTTGTTTCGGAAGAGCTCATTTAAAAACTGTCTTGTTAATTAAGTAGTTACTGTAAAATGAAGAATGTTTTAGGAATAGCATTCTAATCCATTCCCTTCTGTTATAAAGGAGGATTGCAGCATTGTTCATATGTGGAAAGTTGTAATCCACATAAAAAAAGCTACATTTCACATCTAATTCTTGATGATTGGATATTCAAAAGGGGTATCTTTTGAATACTTTCCATGTAAGTAGTTTGCATAGACTTGTGAAATACAACTAAATACTCATAAACAAACTTAGGAAAATTGAAAAAAACCCTCACAGTATGCATGCTTGCCTGTATTTTGTCCATATTTGTCACTGTTTTCACTACTGTTAGAATGGCAACAGATTTCTGTTTAAAATATGGTTATGGAAATCTTATATACATAAATAGAGACACCTGTTCTTCACTTCCTCCGTGCCCTGTAGGAATGCAAACTTTGTACCCTACTAACAAACTTAATATATTCTAAAGACCACTCCAGGGAAGGTTTTGAGGAGCATGCCAGCAGGCACCAGCTTCCCTTCCTTCCATGTGCATGCTTATATGACTTCTGAAGTGTGGATATTGGGTACATAGTTTAAATTGGTCAGACCTTTGGCCACACACAGAAGTGTGATTTTCTTTGTTTTAATAAAACACTTTCTATTTATACCAGTTCTTTAGTTTATTTGCTGTCTCTCTGTTTGTTCTGGATTAGAAGTAACTGTTAGAGAGGGAGTCCTTTATGTTAACTCTTCTGCTTATAGCAGTCATACTATCAGTGTCCCTGTATCAGTCTCTGTGACAGGTGTTAAGACTAGTACTGACTGGACACAGTTGTACTTTGAAGAATGGTAGACATTTTCTGTAATTCTGTGTTCTTATCTAAACTGATATTTGTTGTAGCATGTAATGCTTCTCTGAAGTTAAGCCGTCAGAAGTGCCTGACAAAAGCTGCTTGAGCTCCAGGAAAGAACATTGTATATGTTACCTGTTCAGGTTCCTAGTGTCCACCCATGGAAAAGTTAACCCAAGCAGTTATGAGTGCCTCAAATACAGCACTGGCTACAAAGAGGTACTTCTGCATTTGAAGACAGTGACCAGCTTATGTGTAGGACTATTACTCAGACTGTATGCTACATAACAATCCAGCATCCTACAGAGACTACTTCTGTTACACAAAGTGTTGCAACTGTTGAAAATCTGCGCAGCTAATGTTAAGGGTGAAGCAACACAGTGAGCTGCAACTTTTACCACAGGTAGATAAGCTTTATTTGCTGTCTACAAAATATTTTTTTTTGAGCCATACTCAAAAGAATATAACGTGGATATAATTGTGCCTAGCAGTATACACATCAAACAGTAGTACTTGAAAGTGGGAGGTGCTTGTTACAGCTGGGGTCAGGAAGGACAGTCACAGGGATTTAGCTCGTGTAAAGGAGCCTCTACTTGTGTGTACTAATTCAAGTACTGATGGGACATGCTGGCTAAGACTACTGCATTTTCAGTGTGTAATTTTCTCTGGAAGATTCTGGAGTGAAGCCCTAGAAGAGATAATAAACATGTGGCAGATACCTTGGGTAATATTGGCTAATGTTAAATTATTTGTTGTTCGTTTACATTATAACAAGTGCATATGTATATACATACAAAAAAACCCCAAACCAAACAAACCAAAACTTCGATCCTCATCTGGAGTCACTTAGAATAAATTGCAAACAAGCTGAATTCCCCAATGGAGAATGGTTACAAAAAGACTGCATTAGCAATTTCAAAGTGGCTTTTTCTGTAGTGAATTGTGTGCTGCTTGAAAGATCTCATGCCATGGGATTCTCCTTCTTTTTCTCAAGATGACAGCAACATAGCAGTTAAGGGTTGAAAGCATAATGAAGATGCATTGTAGCAAGACAATAGCTAAGGGTTGAAAGCATAATGAAGATGCATTGTAGCAAGACAATAGCTAAGGGACAACATTAGAAGTACTCTAGATTGCAATTTATTAGCCCTGTGTAATTTATCAAATAAATACTACAGATACACTTGAAAAATGTCAAGGTGTTCATCTTGCTTTGTTGTTAGACCTTTGCCATTCTTTGGTTTCAGGTTGTTCATTTCTTGTGCGCTTAATGCTAATGCATCCATGCTGTAAGAATTCATTGGAAATGTATTCTCTGCTGTGAGTAGCATGTTAAAAGTAGCTGCAGATTCCAGAGGGCTGCCAACCTGTTGGAAGTTTCCCTTTTTCTGCTATATGGCTTTTATCCATAGACGGAAGGGGGAGGAGGACATTGTTCTGGTATTCAGAGCTACTTGTCTTACCAGTTTATCCTTACTTGCCTTATGTCTCTGCCACTTTACCTTATACAACTGACTTTCACTGTAAGGACTAGTTCTGCAGAAAGAGATGAGCTCCCCAATCCCTCACACCCCTGTAATAAAGGGGATGTAGGATAATCCTTACAATACCAGTTTCCAGAACTACCTATTATGCTGGTTTTCCTCTGCACCTGAAACACTACAAGTGCTTGCTGATGGGGGCTGCAGTAGCAGAAGAAGTCTGAAAGGTAACCCCAAGTGAAGCAAAAGCAGGTAGTGTCTACTGTCTTGTTGGCATGTCTCAACACCTTGACCAAGATGTTTTTAGATGCTGGGCTGATCTACACTCCCTTTCCTCCAAAAGGACATACAGAAGTGTTATGAAGAAGGTGACTTTATGTCTTTGTTAAACATTTCTTTCTTCTCCACTTTCAGCTAGAGCTAGTATTACAGTATAACATTGAGGATACCTTCTCTCATAAAATGTTTTCCTCTTGGACCGCTTCTGGCATCCAGAATCCTGTGTAATGAGAAGCACTACTGTGGCTGCTGCTTACTACAGCAACATTTCTTCCTTAGCAAAAGGCCAGCTTTGCATCTAAACTGGGCAAAGGAATGGTTTAGATGTGCAAGTTCACTACAGAGAATAATTTACTGAATAGATAGAACTATACGGAAGCATTTTTGAAGGCCATTTATGTGATCCAGTTCACCATCCTCCAGCATATATAATCCCAGTGATATTAAAGGTTTCCCTGTGAAAGGACATTAGTGCTTTTGTGGAAATACCTTTACTGCTGGCAGCTTATATGTGGCATAGCAAGAAAAACTATTGTATGGGGAAAAAGCATTCTGCCTGGCTGTCAGTACAGAGCTCTTTAATTTGTGAGCAATTTGAGAAAATCTGCTTCTCTTTTTCTTCTAAGAGGGCATCTCTGACCATGGGCAAACACACTGCAATAAAAATGATAAGAGTGGATTCTTCATTAGTTCAGGCTTACCAGCAAGCGTGCTGTTTAGTAAAAATCTCTCTTACCTTTGAGAGGTCTCAGCACCACCACCCCTACTCCTTCACCCAGTCAGTAGTGGAAATCCTGCTAACATCAGTCATGCATGAATGCCATAGCTGGATTCTGGGATTTGTTACTGGAGTCACACAAGAGTAAGAAAAGCAATTCTCTTAGGACAGTGTGAACCCCTAGTGTGGTAGTAGATAAAGAGCACCCGGATTTGGGTTACACAGTGGTAATTTTGTATAGGTTTCCTTGTTGAGGATCTCTTGCACTGAACATAACTGCAACCCATTGCAGGATGATACATCACAGGGTTCAGATAAAATTCAGTGAACCCCACATGTGTCTAATCTGCATAGATTAAAGCTGCAGGTGATTAGGAATGGCATTGCTTAATTAACTAACCCAGAACACATTTACCACTGTTCCAGGGTATGGCTGTTCCACCAACACCAAGCAGCTTACTGAGCTGTAGACTGGCAGGAAAAGAGAGAATGACCATGGTGTGTCCTGCTAGAGAAATTGCAAAGCATTCCAGGCTGCCAAGGCTCCTACCTGAGCTGCATCTTTTCTGCCCTGATGTTTTCAAGGTGCATGCTTTGAAGGAATGCTTAAAGTCTTTGCAGCCATCCAAAACCTGAAAGGATAGCCTGGTTTCCACTGCAAGACGTCAAGACAGACTTGGGTCCCAGCTGCAATACAGAAAATTCCCCATATAAAATGAGGGAGAAATTCTGTCTCCTCATTTATGCTTACCTGAAAGTTAATCTAGAGATCTTTCCAGGTTTTGCCAGCATCCAATAGCCTGTGTTTCACATTTCACCTGAGTTATTATGGGGTTCCAGTTACAAGATTAAAAAAAATGATAATTATACAGCACTGTAAATTTGACATTAACTATTTGAGGAAGATGTCTAAGCATCACTTTCAACCAAGAACATTAGTTGCCCTTAGGAATGCTTCACATTGCTGCACCTTGCATGAGAGATGTAGGAAAACATTGGAGCTCATGTTACTGTGCAGTTCTGCAATGTGTGCATGCTCGATTTCTTTGCTTCAGGCTCCTCTGAGTAGGGAGCGATTCATCTCTAGGAGGCTAATTTCTTACAGTTGAGTGCTAGATTTTAATAAATAAACCCAAAAGTGAAGTGCCCTTTTGAACAGCCCTCGTACCAGCAGGTAATATCAGTAATTTAGGGAACTCAAACCATTCACCATTCCATCCAATGTATTGCGATCAGTGCTGCATTATTTATTTATTTTTAAAAATACATCGTAAGTTATCTCTTTTGTTTTAATTAAGACTTTAAAATACCACTGAGGAATTTTAACTGCAGAATGCCAAAGATGCATTGTTTGAAGGAGAAGTAGTTAAAACACTGAATAAATTGTTTTTTGATTGGCGAGTTTACAAATCATTTGCACCAATAAGGACAAACAAAACATTTTACACCGTAGTGGAGCCAAATTGTCTGTTCCTGAATGAAGATATGGAGAGGGGCTTTGAAAAGGGAAACAAAAATGTCTCCAGAAAGATTCCCTTACAGATGGCTTTTGCCTTCCCCCATTAAAGCAAGTGCTTCCCCTAACCCTTCTTGCTGAAGGCTTGCTGAGTACTTCAGGCTTCTGTAGCCATAGGAATCTCCCTACCCTGATTTCAGCTGTGCTATAACATGAACCTGTATAATCCCCTCATAATTGCTTGCTACATCAAAGCATGGCAGGAAGTGAATGAAAACTACGCACAGCTCTGCAGGTTACTGAGGATCCAGGCAACATGTCCAAAAGTGCTGGACTACACATTGCCTTTGTTGAAAGCATTGCCCTAGTCCAGATAACATGCTTCTATGGCTAGGAAAAGGATTTTCTGTTTTACTGGATAATCTATTGCACCCAAGAGCAGTGAGACCCAACTGAAGTGGTCTTCAGGAGATGAGTTTTCTTGTCATTGCTTCCTAGGATATATGGATTTGATTTCTTCTGACTCTAAGCACTGCCTGATGGGGGAGAGGTGGGAGTATGTTGTAGAAAGTCTAATGATTGAGAAATAAGGAAAAAGTACATTCAAACAGCTACCTCTGTAGATCTTCTAGCAAAACTGCCTTACCATGGGCAAAACACTTAAAAGTAACAATGAAAAGAATAGGCATTGTTTGAAGCTATTATTTAGAAATCATCTAAATTTTTAAAGGTTAATTAGTGTAATTTACCCATCTTGGTTATTAAAAAGGGTTATACATGAATACTAAACTTAAGAGTTCAATCCATTTTATTTCCACAGTTGATTCATCCACATCTGTTTAGCTTTTTATGACCGTCTAATTGATTTGTAGAATTCTGTCCAGTACAGATGGGCTACTGTTCATGACTACTTTCATACCATTTCTATTATTGTTGCTCTGATTTTTATTCAAGGCCAAACAGAGGGGAATATAAGAGCGTGATGTTCACCTAAACATAACAATGACATTAAATTTCTATTTGGCTCTGAGAGAAGAATGGATTTGTGGAGAAAATCCACTATGAATACAAATAAGTTGTTTATACATAAATATAATGAAGTTTCTTACTTAATTATGACCTATTTTACTGGTTCTACAATGTGCCCTGTTATGAAGTTTTGTAGCAACAGCCAGGCTAAATCAATTGTCACAAACTCATTTGGCTCAAAACTAGAATCATACCCCTACTTAACACTTGTGAGAGAATAAAAGCTATTCCTCTGTACCCTGCTCTATGGTAATTCTATTAACTCTGTATGTAGCCTCTCATACAGCTTTACACGCATACACTATTTTATACACAGTTCATACATACAGAATTTTGCATTTGATGAAGACTTGCCCACTACCCTTTGAGTTGTTAAAATGAACAGAAACTGGCTAGGTGTTTTACACCAGAGAGTCTCATTTGGAATTCCTGCAAGGAAGGAATTGTCTCCACAATCTAAGTTTTAAGGAGTTTGTTATGGTCATTTTTGTAACGCCACAAATGTGATTAATTACCAAGTCCTTCTGAAATGCTGGCCTGTAAACCTAGCTCTTGCTCTATTTAATCTCTTGAGTCTTCTGAGTACATGGGGAGTAGTTTGAATAACCTGCACAGTAGTTGTCTTCGTACAGAAGAATTGTTATCAACCCCAGACCCTGAATCATCCAAATCATTCAAAGAGTGAAGAAAGTGCCCCTAATTACCCAATAGTCCCACCTCCACTCTATGTAGTTATAGCTTTGTGCATGTAACCTGCGTGCATAATGGCAAGAAAGCAAGATGCACGCAGAGTTACTGCAGTAACAAGAGGTACACTTTCACGCCAGTAATTTTGTAGACATCATACTGTAGGTGTTTGCTTAAGTATGCCAGCTACTTTGCTTGACCACCACACAGGGAACTAACAGCTACCACTAACAAGTCTGAAGAAAACCAGCACGGAGTTTTGCTAATCAGATGCTTCTCCAGCTAACAGATGTAGTATCAAGCAAATTCAAGTCCTAAGCCTTTGCACAAAACTTGTGAAGAAAAGAAAATGTGTGGATTGTGTCTTTCATGTGTACATTAATTCTTCAGAATTTGTTGTCAGCCAGTAATAGCATCATAAAATGGGAGAGAAAGAGCCTTCTGTTTAATACAGACTAGACTACCTTGGTAGGAAGGCAGCCACTTCAGACAGCACAGCTAAGCAGATTCTACTGCCTGTAACTTTAGTTACGGGGCACAGCAAGAAACATCACGCTTGAATCATCTACCACGCTTGAATCATCTACCACAGCTTAACACGAGACAGCCAAATACAGGAATTTCTTAGTGCAGTAGAAAATCTTCACTGACACATTGTAAAAGCTATGTACAAAAACATTTCTTACATTGTGGAGATGAGGGAGATTCTCCTTTACGCTGAACGCTCAAATTCTTCATTTTTACATGTCCCAAACAGCAAAGGAGGAAGAACACTGCAAAATGAATATGCTTTGGGGTATTTAAAAATCAGCATCTTAGAAGTTGCTGGTGCTAATTTCTTCTTACCCACAGAGAAACAATACTGATACATCCTCCAGCACAGGTTTAAGGGAAGCATCAGTTCCAAACCCACAGAGAGTGTTTCATCTCTGCTTTGGTTTTACAACAAGAACACATATCAAACAACAAACTGTTCTGGCCTGTGAATTCCGCTTAAGTACAATAACATTTGTGTATATAGACTTTTCTTTCAGCTGTGCCAAAGTGTTTCACTGAGTGCCTGTAGTGCAATTACAAGGCAAGCAAGCAGCAGGGAATGAGAAAAATAGGTATAGCAAAGGTGAAAAGCTATTTCAAATGCAATTTGAAACAAGACAGAGAGTCAACAAGAGACAAAATAAGGTTGTTCTAGGTGCTGGAGCTGCAGAAGAGAAGACGCTTACCCAGCACAGATGGTTGTGAAGGTAGAAAAGAGACCAGTGTGATACAAGATGGGCCAAAGGGGAGTGTCAGAGATTGACCTTGTAGGATGCTACACAGAAGGGTTGTGAGCACAGAGGAGATGAAAACAAAGAAAAAGCAGTTTGACAGGAGAGGAAGGAACCAATTCTGGTTATGCGACTCTGACAGGCTCCTGCTGCTGTAGGTTACACAGACACCAAGAAGACTAAAGGGTATCAGGTCATTAACTGCATAGAGGAGAACTGTTTCTATGCAGAAGAAAACCAAACTATTAGTCCCTCAGAACATGTCACATCAGTGCAAAAGGTGTTTCTGACTCCTAATGACACAGAGCCCCACAGTTCTGCCTGTAATGGCTACAGGCTTCAGGAAATGGTTTTCTCTCAGATAATATCAATGTTGCAGCTTATAAACAAGGTCTGGGGCTCTTGGAAGATTCACTGAGGAAGGAATTGGCTTTGCAATCTAGTTTTTAGAGAGATTGTTATGGTCATTTTTGTAACTCCTGAAATTTTATTTGTTACAAAATATTTGTATATCCTTTCAATTTGTCAGCCATCCAGAGACTGCTGTGTGACAATCATAAATTCTGCCTGTTGCTTCCTTCTGAGGTAATAGATTTACGAGAGCAAGAGTTAGAAAAACAGGTTTACCATGTACTAATTACCAAGAATATAGCATACTTTCATGGCAAGAAGGAAGCCCTCCCACCCTTCCACAATCCAATATTCCTCACTGTATCCTAGCAGGTTCCCTAGGACTCCAGATGCTTTGTATTTGTTTTAGTCACTCCCACTCTTGACAATTTAGCTATGCAATCACTGCTAACTTTCTTAGCTGCTCTCCCTTCCACAGATTATTGCCCTTGTCCTTTCTTTTTCTGCCATGCTTTTGGTGATCTTTTCATTATTCAGTGCTTGGAATGCGTGTAAGGGATAAGGGAAGTCCCTGGACTTCTCCAAATGGGTCTATATAAGGGTAACATAGAATCACAGAATCAAGTAGTTTGGAAAAGACCTTTAAGATCATCAAGTCCAAAGTTTACCACAGGACTGCCAAGTCCACCTCTAAACCATGTCACAAAGGGCCTCATCTATGTTTTTGAATGCTTCCAGGGATGTTAATTCCATCATTCCCCTGTGCAGCCTGCTCCGGTGCCTGATCACCCTCCTGGTGAAGAAAGTTTTTCCTAATATTCAATCTAAACCTCCCCTGACACAGCTTGAGGCAGTTACCCCTTGTTCTATCACCTACCGGGAGAAGAGACAGACCCTCACTATAACCTCCTTTCAAGTAGTTGTACTGAGCAATAAAGTCCCCCAGGAGCCTTCTCTTCTTCAGACTAAGCAACCCCAGTTCCCTCAGCCATTCCTCATAAGACTTGCTCTCCAAACATGCAGATGTCTGTTTTAAAGCAAGGCACCACACTGTAGCTTCAAGTGGGCTTCTGCAGTTGATCAAAAGTCAGCCAAGGCATGAAATACAAAGGGGTAGAGACACTGAAACCCAAATTCAATTAGACTAAATACAAACTTCAGTGTTCTGGGAGAAAGGATGTTTACATGGTTACAGTTCTCTGGAGATTTAGCAGGGACTGGAACAGTGCCTGCCACACCCACAAGTTACTGGTGGAGCTCTGTACAAATTGTTTGGGCTTTCCATGCTTTATCCCACAGTTCCCAGTAGGTAAATGGGGTTCATAAAGACTGGCTGTCTTACAAGGTTGCTGTCCTGATATATCAGGAATTGTTCGGGATGTGTTTGGGTCCTGCACTTTAAATGGTGCTATGACATACTGTATCTGGGACAAGAATAAGCCATCCTTCTAATATGATAATTGTTTCTGTAATGCTACAGAGTAAAGATCCCTGAACTATATTCTTCTGCTGCAAGACTTTAGGTAAACTGGTCCTGCAGCTGAATCCAGACAGTTTTACACCTGCTGAAGCCAAAGCAGTTCAGGCAGAGCTAGGCTGCAGGCGGTTTCATCGTGATATGTCAGCATGAGCTCCTTGAACCATCAGTGCCCTTTTGCTGGGCTGTTTTCCCCCATGGGTCCCTGACTGGCTCCCTTCCTCGTCCCCCTTGGCCCTGCTCCCAGGCCAGCTCTACCGCTGGGTGTCACCGCCTGCTTCCTGCCCTTCATCCAAGTGGGTCTGACAGCAGGAGCAATACTCCACATGGGAAACCCTTCCCAGTGGCACAGCAGAACTTTTGCTCTGATCTGAACCTTTCTGTGTGGCTCCTGAGTTTGTAGTTGTTTTGTTCCTTTTATTTTTCCCCAGTAAAAAATGATTTTTAAAAACCTTGTTCCTTGTGGAAGGCATTTCTGGAAACATTTCTTTAATGGAAAATGAATTACTACCCAGTCAAAAACCACTAGTTATACCATTCTGTCATCTTAATACTTAGGGCTCTCAAAGAAAAAACAAAAAGCAAACCCCCAAAACATACATATGCTGTTTCTGTGTTTATTTCACTGAAATAATGTCTTCAAATTGAAAGGAATGGAGGGGTGTGAGAAATATTGAAAAGTCATGAATCAATTTCAATCAATTTTAATTCCAGTATAAGAGGAAGTAATGCCACTTGTCGAAAACAAAGCAATCATTTCTGACAGCTAAATTTGCAAGAGACTTATTGCTGTCTGGAGAGAGGTAAAGCTGGATGCTTCCCTGCTTCTACCTCTGCCTTAATTGACTTTCAGTGCTGTTTGATTTATTCTAGTGAAGTTTCTCTATGTCCTGTAACTCCTACTTTTCTTCCCTCAAATCAGCACTGCCACACAAACAGAACTGCTTTTTTTCCCCAGGGTTGTAACTTGGAACTTGTACTTGGGTTTGCAAAAATATATGCTGACGTTTTGGGTAAGTACTTTCCTTTATGAAAGATATTTTGATATAAAACACTTGTTAGGGAATTTTAAAATGATAGTAAGGCCAGAATAAAACTAAAAATAACAATAAAATTAGAGTTTCAAATCCCACTTTTGTATCATTGTACTATTTTTTTTTTACAAGCTGACCTTTCTGGCCTATGTGTACTTTCTGGTTGAAATAAGCTAAAATCCTGTTACACACATATTCATCCCATATCATTTATTTTGGCTGGCTGTTGCCTAAATGTTTTACTGAATGTTTCCCCCTGAAATCTCCGAGGGCATGGATTTTACACTCATATATTAAAAAGTTAAACAATTTTTCTTTTGCTACTAAAAAAACCCTGCAGGATCCTCCTCCTTTGGAGGAATACCATGAGGACTCACAGCCCTCTGTGAAGGTTTACAAGGAAAATCCCCCTGGGTTTAGGATCCTGGAAGGGGAGACCCGCAGTGAAGGAATTTGCCCAAGTATCTTCAGGGTCTCAAAAGTGGGTCGTGGCTTTTGCCTTTTCATTTGTAAACTGGCTCCTCCACTTGCAACAGGCTCACGTAAACCACAAAACAAACATCTGGATGGCAAACAACACTGAACACCGGCTTCATTCAATGAGCTTTTCAACACTGAGTTTTTTCATTACTGATTTCAAGTTTTTGAACTAGAGAGGAAAAAATTCACTGCTCAGCATAGCTGGTGCCTTACTAACATAGGCAAGGCTGTACTGTACTTAAAGGTTATTTTCTTGTAGATTGCGCTGTTGCCTTTGGCAGCGGTAGGACTTGAGGGACATGTGTTTCCTTGTGTGTGTGCTGGAATTGTAACCAGCAGTGACCAAATATCTTTGCCACTGTTATAAGTGATTCTGAATGTAGATGTTTGAAGATTAATACGTATTTATCTTTCATTTATATGTGCAACATATCTTTTCATAAGACAGTTTGAAGCAACTCATGGTTTCCACCAAAGACTGAATGATGAAAATAAGAGGTTAACAGGGTCTAATTTCAATCTAACAGGTTATTAAGGGTCTATTTTCAAACCCTGAACCCGTGCACCAGGGCTGCCTACAAGCAGGCCTCATCCACACTCCAGCAGTTGTCAGCAGCTCTGGACTCACATGGGCACTGGAAAATCCCCAAGGTAATAGCAATGGGAGGGCCTGGAAATTTTAAATTTGGCTGTAGATGGCAAAACCAGAAAAAAAAAACCAAACCAAACCTAAACAAACAAACAAAACCAAATCAAAACCAAAACCAAACAAAACAAATAAAAAAGAAAAGAAGCAAAACAAGCCAAGCTGAGTGTAGTACATTTAGATTACACAGCAGTAGGAGAGGATTTGACTTGGTAAATTAGAAATTTTGAAGATAAATTCACTTACTATATTTGAGCAGATAGATACCATTATAGCCTTGCCTTTTTTACAAAACATGTGTTTTTCATGTTTATTCATATGCACAAGGGAAAAAATCTTGATCTGTGCCTCTGTGCCTATTACTTGTGTGAGTAATTCCTCGCAGCGCAGTGAAGGCAGCTGTAAAGACTCCTTGCATCATTAAAGACTCATAGGATGGGGCCCATCTTTTGTTACGTATGTTGAGACTGAGCTCACTGTAACGAGGAACTTTCACAACTTTTAAAATACCGAGAAACAAGTATTTCATCTTAGATTTCGCCCCTGAAGTCCATCATTACCGGTTAACTAACAGTTCCCTCCAAAGAGAGCCCACAATGCAGAAGTATATTTTCAGACATTCAAGAGCCTGTCAACGTGACACCCAGTCTTCCAGGCAAATTCATTAGGCCAGAATTAAATACTTACTGTGGAGGAAAATATAGGAAGAGAAACTTCAGCCTTTGTCACCCATACTTTTGTTAACCTAGACTTTGCCAGATTTGCAGCATGTCACAACTGGTGCTTGCCGAGGCCATTGAGGCACCAGGAATGCATTCGCTTTGTGAAGTAGTTTCCGCTTGCATGTGACAAAGCAGCTAGCTGGCTAGTCAGCCTCAGTCAGTGTCTATTTATGGCAAAATGTCAAAAAAGAATGTCCTGCATTTGTGGCTCAACAATAATGAACATGGCTAAATCTGAAAATGAACAAAGGGAAGTGAACAGCTTTTTAAATCCTGAAGAACATTCGATTCTTGGTGTCCTTTTTGTTCCGATTGTTTGGGCTGAAGGCTGTGAAAGGACCACCTGTTGGGCTGCCATTTTGGGATTGTGTTAAATGCAGTGATTGCATGAAAGAACACTTTCCAAAATAACCTGGTATTATTATTCACTTATTTTATAGTAAATCTGCATTCAGAACCTGCAGGAAAGTATAAGGCTTTTTCTCTAAGTGAAATCTAAAGCTGTAAGTTCTCTATAAACGTGCTTACTGTGGATGCATGATTTTATAGTGACAATCATGATACTTTAAAAGCTCAATTAAACCTTTAATGCATCAGTGAGTTTCCCTGTAACAGAAAACGAATCATTTGCAGTAATAAATATAAGATGAAGGAGAGATGAAGTTATACAGGGCTGAATATCTCTGAGGACTAAATTAGCAAGGACTACTTGCACAAAACGTAACTTAAATATTTATTTTGCTCTTGACACAAACTTGAAATTTTTAGTGACGCCAATTATTTTTAATGTCTGTAAGAATGTTCTTGGGTGTAATTTGCTTTTGCTCAAAAGAATGCGTTGCATTGAATTAGAATCTTACTGAACTTTTGAGAAGGTTTACCATAAACCAGTATAAACATTTAATTTAAAAATATAAAATACATATTCATTTTTCTAATGGGCTGTTTTTTTGGTAAAAGATACTTTATACAGTCAAGTGATAATGATTATTTATGTAATAAAACCAGGGGAAATGTTGCCCAAATTAAAAAAAAAAATAAATTTCTGTTTTATAAACATCAAGTCATACAGCTGCTAGTTTTTAAGTTGAGACAGATGAATCCTTTCACACAGTTTAGTATCTTTAATATCTTTTAATGAATTTTAGCTGGGAAAGAACTTTAGAATTGGAGCTGGGTTATACAGTTAAGTGGAGGGATAACAGAGAGGGAAGTCTACATGAATAGCTGGATATATTTCCAGCTGCTTTCACCAGTTTCAGTCGCAAAAGTTAAGCTAAAACTCAGGAGATAAATCTCTTGGGTTTTGCATATTTTACTTCCTCAGAATAGTGAAGGCAGTTGTACATCTGAAAATGATCTATAAATACATTAATTTATTATACATAAGGGAGAGCTTATTTCCTGGAAACCCCTGTATATTTTATACTAGCAGACATGACCCTTAATGTATCAGTACCACCACCTTTAAAAGTTAAAACATGATTTTAAATATATGGGTTAAAGTGACTTTTAGAAAATTATAGTTTTGTTGGTCAAACAAAATTGCTAGCCAGGCAGATTTTTACATGCGGATTGAACTATATTTCATTTCCTACATTAGAGAAGAATGAGTTTTTATGTGACTATCAGTTCAGAGGGGGGAAAAGGTGAAGTGGAAGAGCATACAATGCACAAGTATAAATTAATGTCTGGGTTTATTGTTCACCATGCTGTAAAGAGTATGTACTACACACAGCTATTCTATTAGGGAATTATGGAAACTGAGGCTAGCAAGCAAAAATTACTTGTGTCTGAATAAAAATATGTATCTTTGGGAGACATACAATATGTTTGGAACCCTGAGGGTTAATGAGAGGTAAGCTGGTGAAGGGGGGAGAGGAGATAAGGGAAATAACAGAAGCTGAATAGATGAAAGAAGTGATTCAGTGGGAAGCATTGTTGATCACAGCCAGGTGTCAGAAACAAACTAGAAAAATGGGAACTGCTTTAACATTGGCAGGAAAATAATATATATAAAAAAGAACTTATACCACCTACTAAAAAGAAAAAGAAAATAAGAAATAATAAAAGGCTTTCAGGCTTTCTTTGGGACATGTCAATGAAAAATAATGCAAGCAAGTACGAAAGAAAGCACTGAAATGGAATCCTCTCTGAAGGTATCTTGGGGAGAGAGGCTCATTGTCCCATCCTTTTCACATCAAGAATTTAATTTTGCATTCTCTTTGTCAGTCTTGAGATATACAATATGCAGTTATTCTACACTGGTTACTTTTTCTTTCCTTTCCTCCACTTAGGTAGTCTATACTGGCAGAGGGACAGCCAGAATGGGAGAAATCTAGCCATGAATTAAGTCATCCAGCTCTCCCTTACCAATCTGATTTTTACCTACATTTTGAACTTACTCAAAGGCAAAGTGAGACCCTTTTTTTCCTGAATACTAAAGGGAACTGCAGTTCTTCTATTTCCCTCATTTTTCATTCCTATTTTTAATATCTGTTTTTACAGAAAAAATATCTCTCTGGAGCATCCAGGTTTCATTATGCTTTTGCTACACAGGGTGCAGATATACCTTACAGAACTTGATCACTTATTTTCTGATCTTTCACTTTAGGCAACTTGAAAAAAGGTACCGGCTTGTCTTTTCCTTCTGGAAACACGTAGCCTAAGATGTTATTAGCAGAACATTAAAAACCCCAAAATGCCTTTTCCTTTTTAGTGCCAGGGACATTCTGGTTCCTACGTATGTATTCTGTTTACACCCATCCCCCATGAATTCCTAAGACAGTTTCTCTTATATTAAGCTTCCTTCTGGTGCCCATAGCAACACCATCTAGTACTGAAATGTTCCTGCAGGATTTGCAGGAGTCCTTTCAAAACAAGATGCTGATTCTGCAGTTATTGCACACCCAGCAACTTATATCAGATTCATTCAATTGGAAGGCAATTCAGATGACCATTGACCAGCCTCAGCATCGTTAGTGATGAAACGTTAGGTATGTTCTGGTTTGTTTGGGTTTTCTCCCCACAAAAACAACCAACTTGTTTATTTTTTGTAGCTTACTTAACTGTGCGAAGAAATTGCAGAAGGTGGCAGGGGCTTGGAGTTTGAAATCATTCTTTATTTTATTTCTTTACCTGCAAATGCGCTGACATGCAGATCGGCATCTGCTTGCTGGTTGATGCTTCAGGAGCCACTTTCTGCTCTTGGGGGCAACAATGCAAAGAGGGAAAAAGTACATTTGGCTGAAAACCAACCTGGGAGAAGTTCATGGGAAGTCCCAATGGCTAGCTCCTGCAGCCCAGGAGCTTTTAGCAGAGCTTGTTCACTGTGAGCCTGGGTCCCCTGGGACACCTGGTAGGGGTCAGCTGGACCTCAGCAGGTACTGTGGATACACGTGGTGAGACAAAAGGGAAAGTCCTGTGCCATTGCCACTGCTCCTGTTTCCCTGCATGTGCTGAGACTGAGAAGATTCGAAAACAGCTGTGGGAGCCGGTCTGCTTGATGCTTTTCCCCTGCATGCTGGAGATGTCAGCAGAGTCCAGAGAGGTGGAGAAGGCTGAGGAGCTACATTAAGGTGTGCTTGAAGACTCTTAGCCTCCTGTTCCAGGTCTTCAAGCTGAAGATGACACATGCTGTTCCCAAGCATGAGATCCATGCCCATTGTCAGTACCAGCCGTTAACATCATCTCGTCTAAAAAAGAAAAAAAAAAAAAGGAAGGATGAGGGCAGTGATTGACACTACACACTTTGTTCATTCATTCTGAACACGGCATTTCATTTAAATTCTGTGTTGTGCCACGCTGTGTGCTAGGAAATGTACCCTAGGATAATTTTAAAGCTATAAAAGTTCAGTAAATGGAGACTTCCCGGCAGGACTCAGCTATTAAATCTTTGTTGGAAAGTAGGAGCCACATCCATTTAAAAAATCATATTCTGGTGAGACTAATCACATCTTTGCATGGCTAAAATATGCTTGTATTCAGATGTTAATCGCATAAATATTTGGTAGTTATACGTTGTGTAGAACAAATGCCACAAATTGGCAACGTTAAAAACCCCCTTATCATTGAAGGTATCTTGAGAACATGGAAATATCCGGGTCATGTTCAGGGTGATGGCAGAACATTTACCATGGTGAGGCAAGAAGAATCCCTTCCCTAGCCATCATTTAGCAAGAGAAAAGTTCACCCAAAGTGCAGCTGCTCTAACCTGTGTTGCACACAATGGCACAGGCTGAGCAGTGCTTCCTCCTCTGAACAAGGGGGGCCTGCCCAGGCACCATCCCCCTACCTGGGGACCATACCAACAGCACTCCAAGAGAGATCTGGATGTTGCCAGTGGATGTAAAAAGGACATAAGGTTTGGGCATCCCTTATACAGAAAGTGTGCAAGGGATGATAAGAGCCCACCCAGTCCTGCTGGTGCTCTGAGAGATGCCTTACGCACTGCTGGCAAGGAGTCAGATTCAGGTGTGCAGCAAGTTTATGTTCTGAACAGAAAAAAAAGGTCTGGTAAAAGGGAGAGCTTGAAACTCCTTTGGAGAAGATGGGTCACAAATTATCCTCCCATGTGTTGCCTTTAGGAGAGTCATCCCAGAGCAGGAGTAAAACTGCACAGTGTCCTAAGATGCAGCATGGACAAGTTTCTTCCTTGCAAACTTCACACGTACTGTGCAAAAGATATAATTCAGAGTAACTATGAATTTAATTCTAACTGTAATTCTAAATTGGCAACTTGTTAAAGAAAGAAAAATTTCTTTATGAGACAAATATCCTCTTCAACTTGCAAGAAGTGAATGACTTCTAACATTTCTATTAGACAATCATATATTCATCTGATGTCATTCTTCCTGCCTAACATTAAATCCCCCATTAATGGCAATTAGCACCTTATTCAGCCATTGGTATGGCTGCTAGGACAAAATCAGTATCTCTGAAAATTTATTTTCTTTCAAGGATGGCAACCTGGTGAGCATATCTAGCCCATAGAACAGTTTCTTCCACTCTCCTGGGAATACTGCTTGGGCAGAGAAAATGAAAATCTGAGATAATACCATATGTGTTGTAGGACTGGAGGGTTTCAGGAAGGAGGGAAGGACAAAATTGCAGCCCAGCTTGGATCTGGTAGGATTTCTTTGATCATTTGTCAAGAATTGCTGCATTAACATTTACAAGCTCAAGAGTACCAGGTTGGAATTAGAAGCGAGATCCAAATGTACTGAATTGGTTGATCCCAGCTGGCACCGACAGGACTTGATAGGAGTTCTAAACAATACAGATAAATAAAATCTAGACATTTTGTTTATACACAACACAGACTATAAAAATATTTTTTATAATTGATGTATGCTGAGTCTTAGGCTTTGATCCTGTTTTATGTCTTATTGGTTTTGGTTTTGTTTTACTCTCCTTAATATCTTATTATTAGGAAGTATTTCTTTTATGCTAAGGAACCCCAATGCCACACAAATCTTTGAGAAGAAAAGAACATTTTTCTTGTCATGAGCTGTAAGTAGAAACTGCAATCTGAAAGAATTGTTTATCCTCCATTTCTTAAGAGAACTTTTCTTGTGGAGATACATTCATCCTGCAAAGCAAACAAATCAGCCAGTTCACACCGGGCTGCATCTTCCTTGTATTTGAGATTCTGCGGTTTGCTATTTAGGTCGCAGAAAGGTCCAAAGATGTAGGGCCCAATTCATCAATGCATTAATTTTGGTTTATGCTTGCATAAAGCTGTAACCTTTGAGTTAATTTAAATTAGTATAAAAACTTTTCCAGGCACATGCTGCCTCTTTCTGAATGTCTAGAAAGTCCCTGGAAAAACTCACAAAGAAATTTTTCTCAAGATAGTTTCTAATGATAATAATAAATCACATCTGAGGTTGTTTGTGTGTATGTGAAAGCAATGAATACTTAAACAAAAAAAAAAAAAAAAAGAAAAGAACAAAAGAGCCAAAAGAAAAAATACCAAGTGCAAGAATTATTTAATTTTAGAGCCCAGCAGCTCAGGGTTGTCAGGTTGTTTTCAGTGTTAAACCCTGCCCCAGTTCTTAATCCAGGCTGGTAGCCTGTGCTTTAGCCCCCCTCTTGGAAAACTCTTCTATTACCTGTAGGTGCTATGAGAGAAAATCTGGGCTTTTGGCCAGTTATCGTTCCCTTTAAAAAATTCTCTCTGCTGATAATCAGAATCAATATTTACCAAGTCAAGAAATGCCATTCCTTGTCTGAACAATCTGTATGCTTGTAGCCAGTTACAACCCATCCCTTTGTTATCACTTTGCTGAACAAAAGCAGGTTCTTTTCTTAAAACGATGACAAATCAGAATTGTTGGTAGTATAAGTTATTTTTAAACAAGTAAAGCAGTAATCAGGTGTCTGATATGCAAGTTTGGAGAATGAAGCATAGTTTAATAGGAAAGATGAGTTTTCATCCGCTGAAACCACAAATGCTGTGTGGATTAGTTGCTTTTAATCCCATTTAACCAAAGCTCCCCATTTCATTCTTCTAATCTTTCCTCATAAACAAATTCTTCCAACTTCTCAGTCATGTTTTCTATCCTCCTTGGAATTCCTCTCTATTTGTCTACATATTTTGAGCATAAAGAGAGGCCCAGGGTGAATGTGGGATTCTAGGAGGGACTCCGTCAGCTTTGTGCTAAATCCGTAATTAAAAAGGGTTAAAGTTAATATATTTAAGCTACAACAACGAATCCACTTGATCACACATGACAACAGAAGTATTTATAATTATAATGATTGTCTTACCTCTCAAATGGTCAGACTTAGAGTGTTTAATCTGCACAGATTTGTTTTCTGTAATGAAGATATTAAGGATATTTCCAAGGCAGTGCAAATTTTGCTTGAGTTGGGGAAAGAGAATTATTTTTAAAGGGTTTCAAAATCCTATGTCCTGGTGATTTTGATCTGCAAATAACAACCTTTCTCTCCGCCTTCACTTTAACACTGATCTTTCTGTGTAGCAAGACCATACCTTACAGCAGTAGCCTCTTTACGCAGGCACAGAGCATGCAGGACGATGCACAGTAGCAACAGCAGCCGCAAATAATATTTTGGAAACATTTTGGTGCACTTTTACTGGAATGCTTAAATAACACAGTGGAAATGAAGAAAACCCACGTGCTCATTCCATCAAGCATTAACTGAATGCAAACAGAGTTTGCCTGTGCAAATTTTATGATTTAAATGTCCCCCAAACTATGTCAAAAAAACAGCTGCATACAGAGCCCCCAAAGCTGTTGACTGCAAGGGCATAGTATTAGACTCTGAGACACCACAGATCATGATTATACAACCCTAATCTGTTTGGTTTATTACCCTTCTGACCTATAACCAAAGCTGAATATATTTTTAAAGTCAGGAACACTATCCATGCCACTTGTTTATTAAAAAGGAGCATAGTCCCCATTCCAGTTACATTCTACTTTTTGACAAGCTGTCAATAAACTTGCTCCTTCTGTTACCACCAATGGGCATGAACATACCACTTCAGAACCCCTCTCATACATTGGGACCCCAACAGGGTAGTGACAGTTCCCACCTTGCAAAAAGTCTCAGATGTGAAAAGCTTCCCCTGGGCACAAGTTCTCAGTACGTTGTATTGTCAGATTCACAGGCAGAGGGTTCAGAAAGTTTAGGGTTTGGGGTTATTTTTTCCTTGCCAGTTATGTTGTGGAATTAATCCAAACTGGCTAACTTGTGAAAATAAATTGTGTTCTCTCTGAAGACTAATTTAGCAGTACAAAGCACATATGCTTGTGTACATTACCCCCCCACACACACCTGCATAAGTACACACACACATTTACATGAGTAGATTAACTGCATCTAAAAATCAATTACTTATCTGTATGCACACGTGTCATTAAGATTTATGAAGACTATGCATAGATTTAACTACACATTCTGCTTATGTTTTTAAAAATTTGAATCAAAGTATGGTCCTGGTGCTCTTCATCCCTCTACTATTTACCTACACACCATGAGCATGTGGTGCTCATTTGTATATGGTATATACAGGTGTCAGAGAGAAAATGTATGTAGGTATATCTATCTATATATCTGTATATGGCCATCATGCATTATTTATAAAATGAGTTTGT